CACACATACACACACACATTATTTGTTTTAATTTTATTATTTTCAGAGTGGAAGGAGATAGCGTGCAAATGAAGGAAGACGAACTTTCATTGATAGGTGCAAAAATAATAAAAGTTGTTCATCCTATATGACGTTTGTTAAGAAATATATTGAGAATTATTAAGGAGAGTTCAATAAATAATCAAAAGATTGAGATTGGACTCCTTGTTTAAACGCGATGAGCCTTCCAGTTGTCCCAACCTGAATCGGAGGTGAGGAAGTAGGGAGCAGCCACACCTTTCAATGATTGGAAAAGTTCGCAGGCCCTCAGAGCGACGTTGAAGTTCATGGAGTAACATCGGAGGAGGCTGCATCCAACCACGCATTCCGCCACTGAGCGAGTTCTTCTAGATGCCGTTGGTGTCTTCAACAAACGATATTTGCTAGTTTTTCTCCAAATTTTAGAACCTTAAAAAAGGATAAATAAGTTTTGTATAAATTTAAATTAATTTCATTGAATTAAATTGAATTGAAGATACAAATTTTAACAAAAAAATTATCAAAAATCTATCAAAACTTTTTTTCCAAAATGAACCTGGATCGTCAGAGGCGAACACTTCCATCTCGGCAAAACCAAACGTGCCCGAATTAGGAGTAGATTGTTGCAGGATGATGACTCTGTAGGCTGGCAGGCTGGCACTGCACTTCACCTGGTAGAAACCTGGTGCCAAAATGTACCCCTGGTACTGTCCGCACACTTCGTAGGTGTTCCTAACGACGGGGGTCAAGGTGTTAGCCAGGCCGACTATGAAATGGGACAGTTGAAACTCTGTTTTGATTGAATTTTTTTCATATGCTGGTGTAATAAAACACAAACAAAAAACCCTGCATCTACTAAATGAACCTCTCGTCAACTCGAAAAAATATAACTATATATCCATGAGGCTGACCTAATCCTGGTGTAGTGAAAACGACAACGTAGTCGATGTAGTAGGAATCTCCAAGGTCCACCATCCACCAGAATCCACCATTGGTGTCGTTCGTCCTGTAGGAAGCGTAGCAATCCCTCGTCTGCAAGTAGTTCCCATCGTTGCCGAATTCTGATCTGAAGCAAACATCAGCAGGTAAACTGGATGTGCTCTGTTTGCCTGTAGCTATGCTGGTTCCTGGTTTGATGGGGGAGGCAGTTTTAAAAGTAAAATAATGATCGTAAATTTTTTTCTTTCAAAGAGTTGTATGAAATTACCAACGATACTCGTCCAAAAACTGTTAGAACCTCACTTGAATCAGCTGGAATGATGAACAAACACAACATCAGCCAGAACTTCATAACGTTCCTGCAATACATTTCATCGGTCATTACGAACTTTCGTCGGTTATAACGAACTTTCATCGGTTACAACGAACTTTTCTAATATAACTTTTCTGATATAACAGAGGAGGAAATAATTTTTAATGATTTTTTCGGTTAATGCTTAAATTTATAAATATCTAAAACAATAAAACTTAGCAAAAGAAACTTTTTGTAAGCGAAACTTTTTTATAAAATGAAACGAATTTTTTTCAAAAACAGTACCGTATAAAAACTGGTCAAATAGATTAGGATATTAATACAAATACATTAATATACATACGCACACACACACGCTGGCACATATGAATTTTATTTGGACATCACAATTGGTCCTAAAGACGATTCTACTTTAAAACCTTATCATGTCTAACAAAATAAAACTCAGAATATACAACAATAATTGTAAGACATCACGTATATGAATGTATATATATATATATATATATATATATATATATATATATATATTATAGACATTTTGGTGTATTAATACAACCCAATGTACCGTATAGTTATACCTGGCTGATGAACTGAACAATACACTCATTCAAACGTCAAATATTGTTCTAATTTTTTCTGTTCCAACTGAGACAACTTTTTGTAGTTATTAGTGTCAATTGAAGCTAACTGAGCATGTCATTGATACACACACGCACACAAACACACACATACACGCACACACACATACACGCACACAAACACACACATACACGCACACACACACGCACAAGTTGCCAACGTTCTAGGTAATAAATTTATTGACTGAATAGAGGAAAAAATGGCTAACCGACCTAAATTTGTTGAAATAGTTCTTCTTGGTATGTAGAGTTTTGAAATTTAAAAAAATTTGTTGTTCAACCAAATGAATAATCTAGAAAGAAAAGTGAATGAAGTTGAATATAAATGCATGGAACGGGAAATTATTTCGAATCATTTTGAAATTCTCTTTAAAATTTTTACAAACACAGCACCAAATGATATTGGCACGAAGTTTTAATTTGTACTTATTCTAGAAAAGTTAATTTCAAATTTTCATTTCATATACTCTAATTAAATAATTATTGAATGATTTTGCGATATTTTTCAATCAAATTTAATCAAATTTATATTTTAGAAGTGATTGAATTTCTAGAGCCTTTAGACCTGGCACCATCAAATCTAAAAAGAAATAATACCAGCTACAAAAAAGAATAATTAACATTTCAAAAGTACTGATTTAAGTATAAATATTAAAACAAATAATGATCTTTCATTCAGACAAGCACAAAAAGCAAACACATCGTAGCATAGATCACATTTTTACGCCGAAGCATCTGAAACATCCATCTGACAGAACATTAGAACACTATTCTAACGACTGCTCGTCGCACGAGAAACTACCATAAAAATTTGTATTACAGGCTTGTACTATAATTCATGCTTCCCTATGAATGGTTCATGGGGAAATATGAATTAATGATGATGTTGATGTTTTGTTTTTCATTCATTTTTGTGTACATTCCTTTATTCAATTAATAATTAGATCATTTTTTGTGTCCATTCATTCGTTCGTTCATTCATTCGTTCATTCATTTATTCATTCATTTATTTATTCAATTATTCATAAACGCCATTAAATTCGTTCGCTTCTCTCTCTATAACATTACAAAAATTATTATTGCTATCACCATGAATATCCACCTCTCATCACCATCACCATCATCATCATCACCATAATCATCATCAGTATCATCACCACCATCGTCACTATTAAGCCTGCAATGTTTTTTTCACCCCGTCAGTGAATGTTTGTCTCAAGCGTTGATACAACTGCCAATTGTATCTGCCAGTAGCTTTAAGAACCAATTTCAGAATTATTTTATTCTCATTCATCTTGAAATTATTTTAAAAAAATGATATTTCATCGGTAAAACTATTTTTTTCATTCTCTATAGGAATAATTTTAATCTTGACCAAATAGTTCAGTTTAGCTTATTTCTGGTTAAGTGTCTTTGGATAGATTAACAACTGAGTGAAAGAGTAATTATAAAATATAATTAATTAATTAGTCATTTAATTAATGTCCGAGTGATTAATATTTCAATTAGCTGAACCAGTTCCTTAATGGTTCACATAGTCTTTTTTCGTGTGTTTAAACATACGAACATCCGTTAAATTGAGAACTGCGATTGAACATGATATGAAAATTTGTATTGATGGAAAAGTTTTAAAAAAGATTAACTTTCTGCTATAAGATGTTGTAAATTTAAGAAATTGGATTTAATATTTCACATCCGGTGGAATGTTTTCATTACATTTTCAATGGTGTAACGTTTATTAGATGGAATGAATTTAGGACTGCAAATTTCAATAAAAGTTTTTCAAGATTAATTAAAGAAATAATTTTATTCCCATTTATAAACATTTTACAATCTCTACAAAAGAAATTAGTGACATAAAATTCAATTTTCGGGAGCAAAGTTATCGAAATAATATTCAATTTGAGTTAAAAAATGAGGCTTATTCGATTGAGAGTTGAATGAATCTTCATAATCAAATCTTGTCTTGCTTATCACGCAGTGTCATGTTTATATCAAAAATGCTTATGTAATAATTAAAGTAATCAAGTTATTTACAATTTTCAACAAAATCCTTTATGTTTTTCAAATTTTAAAATGCAAATCCTTAAAAACTAGTAACAGAATCCAACTTCTTGACATTCCCAATCTCCTTTTCTGAAACAACATGTCCGCGGTCCGCTATCCCCTTCACCGCCTTCTCATCAATGTAATCATAGCGAGGAGTGCTCCCAATGATGTCTTCATACAACTCAACTCCTTTGTTATCATTTCCGAGTTTATTTTCAATCGAATCGATATTCGTCTGTGATCTCGGGGTTACGTAGGTGTAAAAGATACTCATGACTGCGAATGCAATGAACGTCAGGAAGTCGAGGCCAGAGAAGATGAAGAACTCCGTTGCCTGTTGTTGGTTATTTGGGTTTGATTCTTTCCAGTTTTGTCAATAAAATCAAATCAACCTTTTGCCAAAACTTCGCGAATATAAACTTTAGTATACAATTGTTATTTAAACAAAGCAAATAGAATGAATTTAAATATTTCACAAGAATGTATAAAATAAATATAAAATTTGAGTAAATCAACACGCCATACGACTTGTTTTTAAACTAGCAGGATATCTTTGTATTCAAACCCGGTCACAGCCCCGCAAGACCAGACGCCTCTAACCATTACTCCACCAATGATTATTATAACAAAAGAGATAAAAAAAACTAACTGGATTTGCCCCGCTAGAAGCAGCTTGAACAATGATGATGATGATGTTCCCTATGCAGACAGTCAACAACCAGATGGCTGTTAAGATTGATTTCATGGAAGGAGGTGCCTACAATATGTAAATGTGTGTGTGTGTGTGTGTGTGTGTGTGGGAATATGTGTGTGTGAGAATATGTGTGTGTGTCAATATGTGTGTGAGAATATGTGTGCGTGTGTGTGTGTGTGACCTGCGTGTATGCAAAGCCCAGTCCTGTGACGGAGAAGAGGCACTCGCCGAAGGACATGACGACGTACTGGGGAGTCTGCATGAATATGTTGATCTTCCAGGGCTCCAACTCCATAATCTGGGACAGTTCAACCTGATTGCAAAATTTAAATCGGGCCAGTTTGTAATTAGGTCAATGCGAAAACTAAAATGCAATTTAAGTCGGTAGCGTTAAAATCGAAATTTGTGTGGTGTAGAAATTGAAATAAGATTAGGGAATTTTGCTTCGGAGTTTACTGATTTAAGAATCGTATTGAAATATTTGCCAGTATCATTAACATCATCATCGCCGTCATCATCATCATCATCATCATTACCAGGACCCCAACTCACATCTCCCCCATTATTGGTTGCGAGTAGCAATGTATAGATTGGACCGTTCTTTGACTGGACTGATTTGAGAATGTTGGTAGAACCAACCGTGATGTTGTACTCTGCTTTGAAACTATAAATATTGAATTTCATTTATTGAATCATCTCTTTCTAATCATTAGAATGATAATACTCGTTAGTGGCGCCTAATTTTGTGTCACGGTGACCCGGGTTTGAACGCATGGAAATCTGTCTGATGTGGAGTGAATAATTTTGCTGGTTCATACGCTCTTGATGCTTTAAATGATGCCGTGAAAAACAAATAACACTGTGTTATCATCAGCTTTCGTGAAAATTGAAAAGTTATTAAACTTTAATTTCATAAAATTCCCAAGTTCCTCTCTCTTCTTACTCGCCAAATGGAAGAGTTTCGTGCCTCGAGACGGTCATAGATGAAACATTGATGAATTTCTTCTCGATCGTGTCCTTCCCCTTCTCAGCGTACACCCTCACGTCAACAGGTCTATCGAGTCCGTTGAAAACTCTATCAATGAAATTTCAAAAAAGTGTTTAACTTTGAAACAGATTATCCAAGCTGGTATCATTCAGTTTTTGAAATGTTTCATTGTCACGCGTTTGATTTCTAGAAAGAAGTTACTCTTTTTTTTAACTTGACAAAAACAATTCGTGAAATTTACTAGAATTGAAATATAGACGAGGAACTCAGTGCAGACCTATGAGTCGATTCACCTTTCTCCGTATGCAACGTTACGTTCTGTGTCACCTACAATGATGAAAATATACAATTTTTGATTCAAACAAATTTTTTTTAAAATTAATTAAATTTTCTTAAAATTCTCATCTATAAAAAAATTGCCTGTGAATAATTCCTTAAACTTAAGTTTGTCTCGTGCAGGTTGATTGAGTTTTCATTTGTGTAAATTTAAATGTCTCAAAATTTTAAACGTGTCACATCCAAAATAATTTTTAATTTTTAAGAATAAATGCAACTCCATTTAAATGAATCAAAGTCGCATATCCACACGATGAGAAGTAACGAAAATTGCACTCCATGACACCGAGTGAACATGTTCTCACGTTGTATATCTTGTTATAAGTGATGAAAAACTGATATGCCGTTCCAGGTTTCAGTTCGAATTCTTGCGGTCCCCCCGTTGAAATGTTCAAACTTATCTCGTACTTACCTGCTAGGACGTCTGCGTATCTAGTCGTCGCCTGGTTTTGGGGAGAAAATTTTTTCGAAATTAAAAATTTAAAAAATAAAATTACACGAAACATTGAAGCAACTATTTTTTTTTAGAAAGAATTTGTTATATGTGTGTCCTAACTAACTAGCTTTTTGATTACCAGATGAAAAACTTCGATTGCCACTGACGGGAAGATACTTGTAATGAAATTTATGAAAACTGAAAAAACAACCTTTAAAGATTCGATGGAATAATTGTAATCAGAAGCACTCCCAGCGAGCCCTTTAAATTGGACAAACACGTCCTCAGGAGCGGCGTTTATGATCTGATATTTGGCTTGGTTGTCTAAGAAACTTGGCTCTTCTTTCTGAAGTAAAATAATTATAAAAAATATTATTGTTATTATTTTCTTCTTGTTATTATGTTCTTGTTATTATTTTCTTATTCAAATTTTCAAAGTTGAAAATGTTGACAAACAAAAGCCGATTCAATTTGAACAAAAGCCGATTCAATTTGCTAACGTTAATGGCAGTTTGCAGGAATCCAGTCATGAGAAAGGAGACAGCAGCTAGAAGCAAACCCAGTGACATCCTCTGCAGAGGCCTGCATGAAACGTTCATAATCATTACTCTATATGAACTTTCACATTAAAATCAAGTGAACAAAGTAAAACATAATATAATTCTGAAATAATATCGATAGAAATCACAAATCTATCTAAGCATCTGCGACTGCCATGTGTGGTTTCGCGTGTTGGAATACATCTACATTTAAATGTAGGTACCTGCAAATTATGTTAACTTGTATTTGCGTATTCTTTGCTGAATTCACTGATATTACCGATGAACACTGAAGACAGAATTGAGAAAAAGTGTTGTCACCTGTTGGGTATGTGGAGGTGTGTGAGGCATGGGTAGATGACGTACTCCAGAAAAGGCACGATTACGACAACCAACAATGGGTTCATGAACTGTAGAGGGAATAATAATAATAATAATAACGATGATGATGATGATAAAAGCTCGTTATTATTAATTTATTATTATTTATTAATATCAATCTTATGCTCTTGTAGGACTCACGTGAATCATGTCTGGGAATACAGTCAAGCCAGGCTTTCGAGGGGAAAATATTATTTTGATTCAATTATTATTTCAATGATAGAAACAGTGTTAAAAGAAATTATTAATAATAATAATACTTTATAATTATATTAATAAATAATTTTATTATGAAATAATTGTTTGTGAATAATTTCTTACGAAATCTCCATTCATCATTTGAGCTTGGAAGGTCCATTTGGAACCCTGGTTGGAACCATTTTTTGAAATTAGTGTCTACTAAACATGTGATTCGTTAAATAAAAATTATTTCAATTTGTTTAGTGTTTTAAATAGATAGTTTTGCTTTCACTGAACCACCCCAAGTGATAACAACACACCAGGATAAACTGGATAGACGCATCGAACACATTTTGCTCACATAGGCAGGGATCTATTTGCATTCGAACCAGGTTACTACTGCACAAATACAGACGCCTCTACTCATTAAGCCAATCCAAAATGTTATTTCATTAAAATTAATCAGCAATTACAAAAAAATGAAGAAAATTTTCATTACGATTTGGTCGAAAAGTGTCCAAAAAACGGGAAGCGGTATGAAGAGCCAGGTGACCCTCATCACGTCTTTTACATCTTCAATGAATGGTTGCTGGATGTGTTTGTGTGTGTTTGTAAGTTTGTTTGTTAGTTCGTTTGTATGTTCGTTTGTGTGTTCGTTTGTATGTTCGTTTGTATGTTCGTTTGTATAAGTTGCTACTACTAATACTATTACTACTGCTACTAATACTACAACTAATACTGTTGCTGCTGCTGCAACTGCCACTACTACAACCCTGACCTTAACCCATTCAGCGCTACTACTGCTACTACTGCTACTACTACTACTGCTGCTGCTACTACAACTTAGTACTATTACTACTACTGACGTCATACTCCGGGGACGCGTAATCCAGCCAATGATCCTTCTTGACGCCGTCCGGATTGTAGGCGCAACAGCATTTCCTACTCAGGGCTTTCTGAAACGGAAATGGGAAAATGTTATAGCAATTTTATTTTAAAACAATAACAAATGAATGAATGGAGTGAATGAATGAATGAATGAATGGAGTGAATGAATGAATGAATGAATGGATGAATGAATGAATGAACGAACGGATGAAGGAATGAATAACAAAGATTTAGCTAAAAATTCATATCCCACCCCAATGCATCCAAAAAATCTTTTCAGAATACTTTCTCCAGGTGGGTTGATTGTGTACCATTTCGTCCCCAGCACAAACAATGCTGAAAATTGTAAATATTTCTTTATAATTATCGATAGATACGAAAGTTTCGTAAAAATTAGAAATTACCGATAGATACGATCATGAGGATGGCCGGTATTCCGAAGCAGAGGGCATAACAGTCTTTACCGAAACACGATATGTTACCTATAAAATGTTATACAATAATTATTAATAATTACAAATATTAAAAATCATAATAATATTGGTAAATAATAATAATATAATTATTATAGCACCTCTTAAAGATGGTATTATGAGAGTAGAAATCATGCTGCCAATGTTGATCGTCAGATAGAACAGCGAGAAGAACGAATCTTTTTGCCTCGTCTAGTGAATGTTATGATAATATAATTTAAATAATATGTCGTAATTATGACATAATTATAAAAGATAACTATTATTTATAAAATTTGTAAAATTATTTAAAATCTGGGTAGATTTAATATAGGGGCGGGCGGGCTCTGCCCTGGAGTTTCCAAAAAAAAATTTGTTTAAGGGGTTTTTATTAATTAGGGGTCCACACTTTTTGTTGTGTCATGGCATTCATACTTATAAATCCGTTTCTATTGGATATAATTTTATTAATTTTTTTAGCCAGCCAACCAATCATTCAACCAGCCAGCCAGCCAGCCAGACAGCCAACCAATCAGCCAACCAGCCAGCCAACCAGCCAGCCAGCCAGCCAGCCAGCCAATCATTCAACCAACCGACCTGGTCCCCTTTAAATTGATCGCCCCCGAATGATGAGACACACGGTTTTATTCCACCCGTTCCGAAGGCTATCACTAACAAGGCTATAAAGGCCAGCCATCTAATTTGCATGAATTTTAATTAATATGAATAAATTTACGTAAATTAATGTTTTATTCAATAAAATTTCGATGAAATTTGAAAAATATTTAAACGTATTGACTTGAGTTAACTTTTTAATTCAACGAATCATACAAGTCTTTTAATCAGAAAAAGATGGATCAATATGTAAAAGTAAATAAATGAAAGCATAAATTTTGCTGATGTGAACGAAACTCAATTTGATTGCAACCTGGTGAACTTGATGGCCGAAACTGTCATAAGGATGCTTCCGCAGGCGTATATGATGGAGACGTACAGAATTGTCCTGAAGTTTCAGTCATTAATTTCAAAGTAAATTTGTTTCAACAAGTCGTTAATTTGAAAATAAATATAATAAAATGGGCTTAATGGACTTCAAAAAACACAAAATAGAAAGTGAACGGGAAATTTCCATGCCACTAATTTATCCTAACTTGTATTTTCCAAGCCAGCCGTCGGCGATCATGGCGCCAAGTATCGGCGTGGCATAGCAAAACACGACGAAGGTGTGGTAAAATACTGTTGATGTGTCTTCTTCGTAGCCTAAGCCTTTCCACAGGTAGAAAATCAAGACGGCTGAAAATATAAAGTTGTTAAATTACTACTACTTTTACTGCTGCTACTACCGTTACTACTGCTACTTGCATACGATGTTACTAATGTGGTCAAACAATCGGTCGAAGTTTGACATTCTGCCTCGGCCATACTTGAAGTCGAATAGTCGAATATTGCAATTTTTGTTTAGGCCATAACATTTTTTAGATTTCAGGACAATAACTGATGATCATTAGTAGGGGGAAATTTATTTTGGCCGTTGTAGCCCTTGAAATATCTTAATCATACCAAGAAACTGAAAATTATCTCGTTAAAAAAATGTTAGTTAGACATGAATGGCCAAATGTTTTTTTTTCACTAACTAGTTTTGTATCTTAAATTTTTTTTAAATACCGAGTTTTTTGGTATTCAACTAGTGGATCAACTATTCGGTCAAATTCACTATTTCGTGCATTTAAATTATTAGTAACACATTTTTGTATAAGACACGCGTGGATCACTTCGCATTCGAATCCAGTCACAACGACTCAAAAACAAGCACACTACTGACAGAGCCACAACAATCACCAAATTATTTATTCACCTATATTTTAATCTTGAAAAACCTCACCCTTCATTCCGTAGAATGAAAATCTTTCGCAGAACTCATTTGCCAGGACCAGAAAAACGTGTAACGGATAGCCAGTGAAATAACCCTTGAAAATGTTAAAATGGTGCAAATGTTAGTAATTTTATGTAGTAACCATTGAGTAATGAATATTCATAATTAAAGTTATGAATATTCACAACTAAGTAATAAATATTCATAACTAAGTAATAAATATTCATAACTAAGTATTAAGTATTCCTGGTTCTGTACTAAATATTTAACATTTTGCTGTGTAACTGCTTTACTTTTAAATTGGATACTTCTGATAAAAGTAATAATATTGATGATGATAATAACAAAACTAATCAATAATAATAAAAATAATAATTATTATTAATAATAAAAATACTCACCAATCCCTTTCCCATGTTTGCCTGTTTAGGATCTCAACGAAGAAAGTTGGAAGAATAAAATGTTTTTGATGGAAAATTCTGAAAAATCAATTGACAGTTAAAAAAATTTATCATAATATGATTATTTATTAATTATATTTAAATATTTATCACTAATTTTAATAAATTTTATTAGTTTCACCTTCCTAGCAAACACCAGAAGTTTAAGTTCCTTACAAAGAAGGATTCGATTTCAAAGTTTGTCTCCTCATCAAAGCAAGGTGAGAAATTAAGAGCTATATAAATAAGTTTAGCAACATACATACAAACAAGCAAGCATGCAAACATGTATATATACATACATACATATATACATACATACATACAGTTAAGCATAACATATATCGGTTTATTTACATTATTAATTGCTTGTAATAAAAGTTTTTAAGTGATAATTAAGCTGAAAAATGTCAAAATCAGATTAATATTTATATATGTCTATATATAAATATGTGTGTATGTGTGTGTGTGTGTGTTTGTGTGTGTGCGCGTAGGTGTGTTTATTGAGGTTTATAATAGAACTACAATTTTCAGCTTCAATTTTCGTAAATAATTTTTTCTAATAACCTAATTCTCATTCCTCCAATCAGTATCAACATTGTTATCACAACACCATCACCCTCACTGTCATCATCATCATCATCACCACCATCATCATCATCATCGTCTTCTTCTTCGTCGTCATCATCATCATCTTCTTCTTTTTCGTTATCATCATCATCATCTTCATCGTTATTTTCAAAAGAGATATGGCCATTCAAACGCATAAAACATTATCATTTTTCTTTAGTGAAGTGTCACATTCTTGATAGCATAAATCTTTATCTCCTAACTTTACCAGCCTATATTTACACACATACACACACACACGCACAAACATACGAACAAACAAATAAGCAAACAAACAAACACAAACACATAATTACAAACATGTCTGCATGATTGTCAACAGTTTTTTGAACGTTGTTTCTTGTTATATTCTGCAAAAGAGTCATCACCAAAACTTTTTAAAGGTACTTAATTGAAATATTTTCAGAACGAAATAAAACAAGTGAATAAAAATATTATTTTTCTTCTTCTTCCTCTTCTACTTCTTCTTCTTCTTCCTCTTCTACTTCTTCTTTTCTTTTTCTTCTTCTTCTTCTTCTTTTTCTTCTTCTTCTTACGTCAAAAACATGGTTAGCACTACTTAATTTCGACCTTGTTGTTCCTCGTCAACATCAATTTCTTAGATTTCAATCCAAATGCCTTTCTCCGAATTAAATCAGTTATGAAACTATTCATTTGTGTATGTCTGGTTGCATGTTTGTCTGTATGTGTGTGTGTGTTTTTGTTTACATATGTGTGTGTATGTGTGTGTTTGTATATATATATGTGTGTGTGTGTATTCATTTAGAAAAATATGCCTAGATAACAGTGCGAAATAACAATAGTAAAAGTTGTTAAGAAGGAAATGACGTTTCATAATGAAAGATATTACAAGATTGTTGAGTTGATATGTATGCCAGTATGCGTGAGTGTGTGTGTGTAGGTATGTTTGTGTGTATGTATGTATGTGTGTGTAGGTATGTGTGTGTGTGTATGTTTGTATGTATGTATGTATGTGTGTGTCTGTATGTGTGTGTGTATGTATGTTTGTATGTATGTGTATGTGTGTGTGTCTGTATGTGTGTGTATATGTATGTTTGTATGTATGTGTATGTGTGTGTGTCTGTATGTGTGTACATCTGTTTGCATGGGTGATGTTAGTTAGGTTTTTATGCGTGAGATGACTGATCTGGTAGCAGATTTCAAGAGAAGATTGACGAATTTTATTTTCATACTTGTCATAAAAATGGAAATATTCCATTAATTCATTTGTTTATTTTAGTTAAATCTTTTTTTTAAATCGTTTACAACTAAATTTGGCAAAAAAAAATTTCGAAAATTATCAACACCATCTCATTTCATCACCTCAGCATCTTGTCTCATCATCACCATCATCACCATCATCATCGTCTTCCTTACTTCTTCATCATCCTTTCATCACCACCACCATCATTCACATCTTTCATTCCTCTGACCCCACTTAGAATCTCGAGGGCAGAGCCGCATGTGGCAGTCACCACATTTCGTGCATTTGATATATTTTGTTGGCAGATCTGTCGAGAAGGATTTCTGGTTTTGCAGTTGTAAATTTCTGGAATTTTTAGAGAAAAATTGTGAAAAATTTAAAATTGTTGAAATATTTTAAGTTCACAAAAATACGAACCATTATCCAGCCGCGAGGTAGTAATTCTGTTGGTAATATTGGAAGTTTTTGAAGTAGCAGTAGTGGTGGTAGTGGTAGTAGTAACGGTAGTAGCAGCAGCAGAAGTATTTGATCTCAAATTAATAGCAGTGGTTTCATATCTCACAGTAGTTCTAGTACCAGCCATAGTTGTGGATTTCAAATTTGTCTTACTAGAGATGATATTGTCAAAGGTATTTCGACTGGTAGTAGTTTTAGTTGTAGCAAGTTTGAATGGAGTCGTTGTTGGGATGGGTGTTCGTGTTGGCTCAAAAGCCATTCTGGTACTGATAACTTTTGTCACTGTTCAGTGAAGATATTTTAGTCTCAATTGAACTATTTCTTTTTGTGACTGCCATTTTTAAAAATTCCTAAAATTTGTTGACAATTTTCACATATAGTACACAAGAAAAAAGTAAAATATTTATACTCAACTGTGTTATAATAATTATAAATATTAATAATTATTATATAATTATTATAAATATAATAAGAAATAATTTAACTGGCTAGCGGGCAAATCTGTATATCGATGATGACACATTGTTTACTGTTGTCTTTGGCGTTGACTGTTATGTGCAATTGCTCCATCAGAGCGTTCGGCAGAATGTACGATGACTGACGAATTTTATGGCTAATATTATTTGTATTTAAATGATTATATTAATATTGTTATTATTCTATTCGATTGTTATATTGTTTTTTAATGCTTGAAGTGTTTGCGGATTGAAGGGTTGTGATGAATTTAGATTGCCTAGTTGAAAGGCGGTTTGAATTTGAAATGTGAAATCAAACCAAACAAAAACATTTTTCATCGTTATTGACCAATAATTTATAAAATATGGAAACCAATTCATAAAGTCCACCTTGCCATCTGTAGAAAGTCGTGATCGAAATTCTCCGTCTTAGACTTGCCATAAACGGAGTACCTTCCCAAATTCTCCGAACTGATCCTCAACTCACCCGAAATAAGCGTTGGATTCTTGAAACTGATTATTATTTCTTGGTTTTTCGAGTTTGGGTTAAAGGTCAGAGGAAAGAAATTTCTATTTCTGGGGTTTGTTGAAAGAATCACATTGAGCCCTGCGATGCCAGGGCAGTCCGAACTGCCCTCCGAGGCTGTCAGTGGTTGATTTTTTGTTATATTTGTCACTATCAGCTAATAAATTTTTTGTCGCCGTGTTCGCTTCTGAGTTGGGGTGATCGAGTTCGATTGCGAGAAGATTGTGTGTGTGTGTGTGTGTGTGTGTTTGAGATATGTTGTGCTGCGTTTTGCACGTGTCCATCTGTAAAACTGCAAGTAGAGCGCTACATAAATGAAGCAATTGTAATCTTTCTATTTAAATTTTATTTATTCAAAACTTTTTTATACTTCTGAATTAATTTATAAAATAACATTTTGGGATTTTTCAACAGAAGTTTTAACATTTTTAAATAAATATTTTTCAACTTTTAAACTCCACTTCTCCAAAATATCAACAAAAATAAATAAAAAAAAACTATGTATAACATTACTTTGAGCACTGACAATGATAAAATATATTGCCAAATATCCAATCATGATATTCTATCATTAAAATTCATCCAAAATTCAAAGTTTTCATTCAGCAGTCGTTATATTATAAGCGTTTCACTAGGGATAAATTTTTTTTTGTTAAATTTATTGCATCAAAAAACTAAATTTGCTAATTAAATTTGTAGTTTCAATGGATCGATGGAGTTTAATTGAGAAATTTTGATATTAATGTTGAGATGATGACGATTTTTAAATTTTATTTGAAATGAAAAGCCATCATCATCTTCGTCATCATCATCGTCGTCATCATCATCATCATAATCGTCCAAATCATCATCGTCATTGCCCAAATCATCATAAACATATGTTTTTCATATAACGAATTATACATCTACACATACAAATTTACCATCATCATCATCATTATTATTATCATTATTTAACCTATAACCTTTAATTGATCGATTGTGTTTTGAGGTTATAGTTTAGAAGATGATTATGGTGATATGTCAAGGGTGATCACATTGGCATCTGAGATGATGGTGACGACGACGACGACGATGATGATTAGATCAGAGATGAAATATATTTACAATAAAGCCCACGCATTGAACGTTTTAGGAAATCAATGATGAACTCAAACACTTCGTTGCAACTTTCACTTCTCGTGTATCCAACTTCTGTGCATAAGAGCGGCAAATGAACCACACTAGCATGCTTTAATAAGATCAGAGGGCAAAAATTTTGATTTCTACCTTTGGGAGAACTTGGGCGAGATTCACGAGGAGGTCTGCCAGCAGTCAGTTGAAACCATAGACGCCGTTAGCCATTATTCCATCAAGTATTATTATTATTATTCATACTATTTGTCATTATTATTATTATTACTGATTTCGAATTTATTGTAGATATATTCTGAGCCGCATTAAACTAAAACACTAATTGTTAATTATTAAACAGGGCTTAATGAGGTGAAGATCACGATGAAATGGAATTAAGAACTAGAATTGATCAACTTTCATTCATTTACAAATATTTCATTTCAAGAATGTTTGACTACAAATTTAATCTAAGTTAATTTTCTTATAAAAATTTGTGAAATAGCGATAAAAATATTCAAGTGCAGAATATATTTTATTGAAAAATTCTTGAAAAACCTGAACGCAAAATTTCTTTGAAAATATGAGACGTTATTTGCAATTCTGATAACGAATCTGCATCACTATTACTATCAAAACAGTTGGAATGATTTTCAAACTTATTTGAGTAGGCTGAACGACCACGTACATGTGATTGTAATTCAGTATATATTGTATTAAACGCATACTCTGCCAGCTAATTAAATATACTTTTTACGAAGGCAACTATTTGTTTAATGAAATTTTGTAACGCATTTTGTCGAAAACTTTCACCAAAAACATTTCTGTATATAATAATAATTACTTATATCTACAGCAGACATTTATTCATCTCGTTGCTCTGACTTGGTTTGGCCAAAATGCGCTTATCGAAAGTTTTTGTTGGGATTTTCATTTACACGTTGTTTGAAAGTTTCGCAAGGACTGCTGCCGGTTATGGTAAAGTGTTTTTAAACATTTATATTGAAATGGTTATTTTCCAAGTTAATATAGAGAAATATTTAATGTTCTCGCTGTAGAATGATCGTTTCAAAATATTCATTAAACCTTTCAACCGTCACCTCAAAAGGACAGGGACCATCAAGCTCTGGAGAAACTGAGGAGGTCAACCGCGCCAAGAGATACCGCGATGGCACCACAAATCTGGTCATAGAGGCCTTATTCATTATTGATTACTCCGTTTACATCAAGTAGTTCTACATTTTTCTTCAGCATTATTTTGGAAAATTTTACAAAGTTTATAAATCGAACATTAAATACAAATTTACCTACATTTTCCTAAAACTCCTAATTACAGAAAATAAACTGAATTATTATTAACTCTTTTGCAAATATTTCAAAGAAATGTTTGAAAATTTATGAAAATTTTTTTCATCAAAAGATGGATGCAGTTTAGTGGGAACAATAGAGATGAAGCCATTCAGATGCTGCGGTATCATTTTGCTCACATCGCTTACGGGGTGAGTAACTCGAAGAATGAAATATTTTTTTATAAATTACGTTTAAATAATCATAAAAATATTAATGTTATTAATTATTTTAGCCTTTTTTGAAAATTTTATTGAGAATTCTCATTTGTTCTACAGGTTGACCAAAAGTACCAGTCCATTGATACCACTCGATATAGATTTTCAGTAAAACTCGTTGGCTACCACATTTGCGAGGTGTAAATTTTTGAAAAACCCATCAAAACCGTTTAAGAATAAATTATATTGGAATTATTAAGCTTTTCTTTTGTTAAATATGTAATTTTAATTTGGAATTTCATCGGAAAAGTCTGTCCCCAACCTAATTTCAGACTCCGTCTGAGTCCTCATTCATCGAGGAGACGAAATTGAACGAAACAAATTTCGATATGGGCGTTGCTCTGAAAAAATTCATAAAATGGAATGAGAAGCGTGTATATTCTGGTCAAAGCTCCCTTCCAGAATTTGACTTGGCTGTGACATTTACGAAGTTAGATGATGTTCGGAAGAAATTTCAAATTATGAAATAAATCAAAATCATGAAATTTCACCGTTCTTATTTAAGCTATTTAGTACTAACCCCAGAACGTATGTTCGATAATTCTCACAGTCAATCAGTTTAAATGTTATTGAAAGTGTTACATTTCATAAAAATTCTTTTAGACTTAAAACTTTTTTGACTAGTTTAATTTACATTTTTCAAAATTAATAAAAATAATGATATTAATGTTGTCACTCCAGTTACAAATCAGGAAAAACGATGGGGCTAGCCTACCTAGGGACAGCATGCACCCCGAGTGCAGTTACCGTGGTGTGCAACAGGGGAATGCAGGACACCACCGTTACAGCGGCCCACGAGATAGGGCACATGTGAGAAGTTTTGTCGGGTACCAATGCCAACGGTTCCTTGTCTATCGCTCACGATGTGCTTGCCATGGGCTGATTTATACGTTAATCAGCAAGTTTAAAATTGACCAGTGAATTAACATGCAAAATATTTGCCACCTCTTTTAAAATTATCCAACAGGACATTTTCAATTGACCTGCTTTCAAATTATCTAACAAAACTTTCTCAACCTATTACAACTTATTCATAAATGGTACACACTTTTTTGTAAACGTTTCCTATCAGCTTAGGCGCGCCACATGATGAAGACGGAAACTCGTGTCCTGAGAGTGATTTCTACATAATGAACGCCAACCACAATCCCATCAGCAAGAACAACTACCATACATTCTCATCGTGCTCCAGGAGTTATATCGAGGATTATGTTAACAAATTGGACAGGTTAGTTTTGGCAGTTGCAAACTATCTGAGTAATTTGTTAAATTTAGAGGTGCGCATGGGAACGGGATGTGCGGAAATCACATGGTTCTCATGGAATTCCTATGGGAAATGGTAAAACTTAATTTTTTTAAGAATGGGAATTTTAGAAAATCGCAGTTCGGGTATCGGGAATGACGGACAGGAATGAGAAAAAATGAGAAAAATGCCATATACGTGCAAAATAAAAGCTTATATATATATTAAAAAAAATTAGATTTCATTTTGGCCTGATAATTCTTAACAGCGAAAGTATTTTTACATGATTTTAGCCTGGTTAGGGATTGATTCATTTATGAAATTTCATGAAAAATGAAATGAATTTTTTAATAAAATCAAGCCTACCGGAAAATGTACACTCTAAGAAGTTTACATATTTCATCGTAAGAATTTTGAAACAAAATTTTTCATTCTAACACTAATTAGCACTGATCAAAACTGCCTGTCAACATTGCAAACGAATAGCAAGCACGAGGACCTGACGACTCATTTGAAAGTTCTGCCAGGAAGAAAATATTCCTTAGACGTTCAGTGCCAATTGATGTTCGACCTCGATGCCACTATCTGCCCTGTAAGCTGAATTGATATGAATTCTTCAATTTTTCTTAGCTAGTTCAATTTCAAAACTTGAAACAACATTTTTTTTCTTAAAAGTCCGAAGATAACAACTACGAAGGCGTTTGCGGAAGAATGTTTTGTAACGTGCCCCAGCGCCGTGGTTGTGTGAGTAACGGGGGGAGGGCTCTGCCAGGGACAGCGTGTGGCGATCAGAGGTGGTGCATGAATGAACAATGTCTTGGCACCTCCATTCGGCCTGGTTTTAAAAGCTTTAATTGTTTGTTATTTCTACCATATTGAAAAACAAAGAAGTAATTTCGATTTAATAATGCTTTCGCATTTTACAAAACCGACAAACTAAATAATGAATATTAAATCTTCAACAAAATGAACTTATCAAGTCACTTTCCCATAAAAATTTACAGCCAGCCAGCCATCATCTCGCAGACCGGACATCTTTTTACCGGACAGTGATGCCAACCCACCGTCCCAAACCCCCTCCAACAATGGATGCACCGAAGACTCGCGAGGTCAGTGGTGCTTAGACGCCATGGGCAATGATGGTAAGAAACGAATCTACTGCTACTATTACGTGAGCGACTGCTGCAAAACGTGCGCTGGTTGGGTCTGAGGTGATTTTCAAGTTTTCCATTTATTGTAAATATTGACAATGACGTCATAATGATCTTTGTTGATGGTGTCTTTGTTGAGATTATTTGATGGAGATTTTATAAAGTTTCATATAAAATTTGAAGTTTGAAGTACGCGTGTATGTTATTATTGCGCAGAATAAAGTGAAATTTTTAAGTTTTTTTTTGGAATAAAGTTTGTTAAATAATTAATCTCATTATTTTAAAAGAAAATTAATGTAAACGTTATCTGGACCGAGGCAAAGTTGAAAAACGTTAAACCATTCCCGGGAGAAATTATGTGACAGGAACATTCTGTTTCAAATTGTGATTGAAAATTATTTTTTGCAACAATGTCTTAACGTAACTGAAACGTTTCAATAAAAGTTTGTCGAAATTCTTACATTGAAGATAACAAGAAGCGAATTCGATAATTCTGAAAAAATTGAAAAGTTACCCAATCACGTTAAAATTAAATTCAAAATGAACCAATTAAATAATTTATTAATTAAATTATGGGAAACATATCAAAGTTGAAATAGATTCTGCCTGAACAAGACTATGCCAAAATTTTTTAAAATTACTGAAAAAATAAGCATTTGTTATGGAAAATTTCATTTACAAACAGTAATTTATAAGCAATTAGTTCTAACAATATTATTTTTGTAGTTGTAATAATAATTATAATAATAATAATTATTATTATTTATCGTTCATATACTCGTGTGGGCATGACATTTCATGAAACTGAACTACGCATAATGCAACGACGTAACGCACATATTTCATTTTTCAACCAGCTTTTTTTTTGAAATCATGAAAGCCTAGATTGAATAATAAAGAGTTTGTATTTTATGTTTTAGAATTTAAAATGTTCATGATATATTCACCATCTTAATCAATTTTTTGATAAGTTATTAAAAAATTAACTTTTCAATTTCTAGAATATAACATTACTTAATTAATTAATTAATGTTATATTCTATATATATATATATATATATGATTTAAATATATCCAAATAGGAAAAATGTTTTTGAAAAATTCATGGACATAATAGGATCTGATAACTCTAATGGACCCGTCATATCAAACAGACCGTTGCAAATTAGTCAACAAAACTTTTATTGCGAATTTGGTTAATTTAAAAAAAATCCTGTGATAGTTTCTAGAAAAAAAAATAAAGCGTCGACCACGCAAAAACATTCTCCCGCTCGCATCAGACAGATTTCACATTGCGCCCTGACTAGCTGCATAGTTTTCGAAGCGAATTGTTTGTTTAATGATGTTCTTTCGTAACGCATTTTATTGAAAAATTTCATCAGAAAAGATTTCTGTATTAAAGTAGACGTTGACATGCGCATTTTCGTTGCTCTCTAGCTTGCTCTAGACGAAATGTTCAAGATTTTTGGCGGAATTTTCGTTTTTACGCTACTTGGAAGTTTTGCAAGGACTGCTGACGATGGTTGGACCTATTGAATGTTGAATTAGAGAAATATTTTCTTTTATCGCTGAAGTACAACTGTCTCAGGGCATTATTGAAATTGAAATTTTTTCAGTCGTCATTTCCTTTCCAAGAAACCTGGAGCTGAGCCTGCCAATAAAGAAAAATGTACTGTTTACAGTGCACCTCTCGAGGGAGAAGGCTGATGCTGTCGACGCTGATGTTCTCGAAGATGCCAATGGAACTCAGTGGCACATGACAAAATTAGAGGTTAAATAATAATTGAGAGTTCGATTTCTACTAATTTGCTAAAAATAAAAAATTTGTAACATTAAAAGCTGGTTAGAAATTATGGAAATGTTGAAGATTCTGCCGCATTTATCGTTTCAAAAGTCATCAAAAACGGAGTTCTTAAGACCAAATATGTGAGCAGCAAGTAACCTTATCTTTTTTTCATCAATACTTTTGTAAAACTGCTTCAAAATGTTTAACTGTCGAGACTAATCAAATTTTGAAGGATATTCGGATTTGCATCGCGTTCAACTCTTTCTAAATTCCACAAATTTATACTAAACTAACAAACATCTGCTGTAGTTGCAACAAACTTGTACTTAAACATGCTTGCCTTTTAAAAAATTTTATAAAATTTGTTAAATTCGACAATCGTTTTGAAAACTAAAATTATATAGTCTTTGCAAAGTCTAAGAATAAATAAGTGAGTACCAATCAAACTTTCCAAACGAAGGTAGGAGACTTTGTGCACGACAAAGAGAGTTACAGCGTGTTTCCGAACACGTTGGAGCAGAAGACGAACAAGAAAGAAACGCTGGAGGAACATTCAGTGGTGCTGGAAGGAGAGGAGTACGTGGTCGCTCTCATGAAGCCACTGCCAGCCGGAATAAACGGTCGACTTTACAATTTATTCAACTTTAATAAAGTAACAATTTTAGGATTTTAAGAAATTTTCAAACAGATGTTGAGCTGAAGCCACCAGCAAACACGGTCTACCTGAATGGACAGAAAATATCGGAATCTGGAGCTCCTGGAGAGATCAACCGCGTCAAGCGAGACAACCATGGTGTCACGTATTTGGAAGTTGAGACCTTATTCGTTGTTGATTACTCCGTTTACAAAAAGTAAATTTTTAAAATTTTTACTTTTCAGCAGCCTATGGTTTAGTTGAAATCTACCAAGCTTTCTTCTGAATCACTCAACGACAATCCTTAATTGAATTATTACTAGATTTCATACAAATATTTTACAAATAACTTTCAATTGAAAAATTATTTGTGTCCCAACTTTTGAGAAATCATTTTTTCCAAAAGGTGGATGCAGTTCAATCGGAACAACAAAGACGAAACCATCCAGATGTTGCGCCACTACTTCGCCCACATCGCTTACGGGGTGACTAGGGGGGATGTTGGAAAATTTAAAAATCATTAAACTATGTTCAAATATTCGTAATAATTTTAATTATTATAAATATTTATATTCTTGTTCACTCTAATATTTTATTATTATCATAATTTGTTTCCAGATTCATCAAAAGTACCAGTCGATTGATACCACACAATACAGATATTCCGTTAAACTCGTCGGCTACTACATATGCGAGGTCATAATTTTTATAGTTTTAGTAAAGAAGAACCCGAGCAAGCTTTAATTTAACTTTTTCAATTAAATTTATGTTGAAATGTTACTAAAAAAAGTCTCTCATCAACGTCATTTCAGACGCCGAGCGCTGCCTCGTTCGTGGAAGAGAGCAGACTCGATGCAACCAGGTTCAACATCCACGACGCCCTCTCAAAATTCGCTCGTTGGAACTATGATCGCATGCTTTCAAAAACTCTTCCAAAATACGATCTGGCTGTAACTTTTACATGGTGAGTATTGAGTAATTAAGTAATTTTTGTGGTGTGATGGCTCGGTTCGAACGCAAACAAATCCCCGTGTATCACGTGCACTTAGTATTAAGTGCGATGACGAGCGGTTGCGTGTGGCGCCGACATCTCCAAACTCGGACCGCTCATCTAACAAAATAGAGCTAAAAAAATTATTAATTTTTGAAAGTTTAATTTCCTTTTTTACAGTTAAACAAAATTTTAGTTACTGTAAATATTTTTTGAAGAATGACTTATTGAAAGAAATTGCCTCGCAGCTACGATTCGGGATCGGTGTTGGGCCTGGCATACGTGGGCACGTCCTGCACAACGAGTGGGGTGGGTGTGGTGCGCAACGCCGGCCACCAAGATACCGTCCTTACTGCCGCCCACGAGATGGGGCACATGTTAGTCCCTCGGTGTTAGTCCCTCGGTGTTAGTCCCTCGGTGTTAGTTCTTCGGTGTTAGTCCCTCGGTGTTAGTCCCTCGGTGTTAGTCCCTCGGTGTTAGTTCCTCGGAAATAATGTCAGCCGCTCATAAGTTGCTTTAAAAAATCTTTGTTAGAATGATTTGGAAAAAATTTCCAACCAACAGATTGGGCGCATCACACGACGAAGAAAGGAACCCTTGCCCTGGTAGAGATCTTTACATCATGAGCGCTCAATACGACCTCTACCACAAAAACAACCACCACACATTTTCTTCTTGCTCCAGAGACTTCTTCCAAAATTATGCTTACAAATTGGACAGGTGATTTCTAACGGTACTATTTTAAATTTTTTTAAATAAAATTTTGAATGAATAACTTTCCAATGATTAGCAATAGACAAAACTGCATGTTGAGCTCTGATACGGGCAGCAAGCGCGAGGATCTGACAGAGCATGTGAGAATTCTGCCTGGGACAAAATATTCCCTGAATGTTCAGTGTCAGATGGTTTTTGATCTTTCTGTCACATCTTGCATCGTTAGTAACATCAGTTTTGAATTTTGACAATTTCCCTTCTCTCTCTCTCTCTCTCTCTCTCTCTCTCTCTCTCTCTCTCTCTCTCTCTCTCTCTCTCTCTCTTATTGCATGTTTACATTTCTTTATTTTAAAATAATTTAAATTATGATTTTTAAAAACAATTTTCCCCGAAATAGCCAGAGGGTCCAAGTAACTGCGGGAATCTGTTTTGTAGCGATCCAAATCGTGGTGGCAGTTGTATGGACAGTGCCAGGAAAGTTCTGCCAGGCACGCCGTGCGGAAACAAAATGTGGTGCCTCAATGGCAAGTGCGTCAGTAACTCCATAAAGCCGGATCCCATAGGTCCGGTTGATTTTTAAATTCTAGGTTCTATTTTTATTCTTGTTTATGTTATTGTTTCTCTGATTTCCCACCAAAATCTCTTTCATTCTAAAAATGTAACTTAATTTTGAAACAAATAAACATTAGTTTTAAAATGAAACAAGTTTATACGTAAAGAGAAAAACGTTATAAAACCAATCACCGGCGGGAATCTACAGACAGCCAGGCAACGACTCGCAGACCGAACGCCAACCCCCCGTCACAACCCCCCAAGAGCACTTGCACTCAGGACGTACATGTCCAGTGGTGCAGCACCGCTCTGAAGGATGAAGCAAGCAGGAAAGCCTACTGCCAGAATTACATGTTGGAATGCTGTAAAACTTGTGCCCCATACGTTTCAGGTGCTTTTTAAAATTTTAACATTTCATGTTGAATGATGGTTTAATGGCTTAATTTTAACATTTCATATTGAATGTTGGTGTTATTTTATTTTCAGGGCCCAACGGGAACACCAATCAGCCTTCCCAGCCACCCAAAAGTTCGTGTACCCAAGATCTGCAGGCCCAATGGTGCAGCACAGCCCTCTATGATGAATACACGAAAAAAACCTACTGTACAGATTACAAGGAAGTCTGCTGCAAAACGTGCGCTCCCTATATCAGAGGTGATTTTTTAATTTCTTTTAATTTATATTGATTTGTGTGTGTGGTTTGATGGTCAAAGTGTCTGTCCGACACTGATGTTGCGATGACTGAGTTCGAATGCAAACAGATCCATGCTTATCACATGCAGTGTGTGTCTGTGTGTGTGTGTCTGTGGTGTAGTTGTGTGTGTGTGCGTGTGTATCAGTAAATGTGAGATGAAATATTTGACTTTTTTAATATCACCAGGCTAAAGAAGAACACTGTGACAGCAGTTCATGCCACTTACATGGGAAATCACACTGTAATAAATTTCAGTTTTTTCAGATGAATTTTTGAAAAGGCTTCTTATTATATTAAAATTTTGAAAAAATTTGTTGAAAGTTTTGCAATGGAAATAAAACTAACGGAATATCATTACAACTTTGTGTAAAATCATTCAGATAAAAAACACACAACGATTTTTCAGTAAGTAGTTTCAAAATGTTTACAGACCCAAGCTTATTTAAAGATTTCTACGGAGAAAAACATAGCAACTATTATTTTATAAATTTCTCGTCAAGCATGTTAGAATTTGAATAAAAATTTTTAAAAACAAAAAATATATATCGGGGTAATTCAGCTCAAAGCTCCCCCCGGAAGCTATCTCCAACTCAGAGCAAACTCAGGCACAATCATCAAATCAAAAAATTTGGTAAGCATTATATTTGGTAAAATAATTTACCCATACGTTCCGTATTTTAAGAAGTGGTGGGTAGGCCTATACCAATTAACAAATCTCTCTCTCTTCCAACTTGGCGAAGATCAAATTAATTAATTTCGTTCTACTATTTATAAATTCTATAAAACGCCGAAAATGACTTTGTTGAAATATTTCATGTTAATAATGGTCTACGTAGAAACGCTCTGGTCCAGTGTTGAGGCCAAAGGGGAAATTAGTACGGAAATAAAATAACAACAATGAATGTATTAGATGTTTTACACGTAAGTGCATGTTAATATATTTTATTTCAAAAAACGAACAATTAATGGCAGAAATTTTCAAAGTTTAGTCAATTTAATTTCATATTTCATCTCAAAAAATTCGTTGAAAATTTCATTCACTTTCAGTTGTTTGTAATCAACCTGAAAATTTATAGAATTTCTTTGAAAACAAATTTGTGAACAGATTGTTAAATTAATGAAAAAATTAACTAATAACCAAATTCAAACGGATAAAATCTTAAACCTAAAACAAAAACCAACCGCATTAATAAAACAAATCTAATTAAAAACTAACTTATTCATTTCAAACTTTTAACTCCAAAATTCAATCCAAAAACTTCTGCCCCTAAGTGTTAACCCAAAAGTTTCTACCCAAATTCTCATTTACAAAATTTTTAGTCAAAAAAATTTAATCCGAAAAAAGTTAACCCAAAATTTTTCATCTACAAATTTTTCCCTAAAAATTCTAACGGTAACCCAACTCGAAAATTCTCGTCCGAAATTCTTACCCAGGTAAGGTTGGCAAGTTTTGCAGCATGATCCAGCGTAGCCCGGACTTTTGCAGTAGAGTTTCTTTTTAGTCTCGTCCGACATGTTATCTCTACACCACTTTTCATGGACATCCTTGGTGCATTTGGACGATGGAGGAGTTTGTGGTTGTTTGGTAGGGCTCTTGTCTTGAAGAAGTTTATCGGAGGATGATAATAATATCAAATTGATGTGTGAATATTTTTGTGATGAAATCGTAGAAAATGTAAAATAAAAAAATAGTTCAAGAAGAATAATTATTTTTGAAAACACACAGAAGTCTACCTCTGCTGTCAGTGGCACCAGGACCGCTATAAGCACAACTCCTCCCATTACATTTTACCTTGCTAGTGCAGCTTGATTTGTCTAGTCCGGTCCCTTTCCTACATTTGTTCAGCTCTCTGGTTTGAAAATAATCATTGTTGTTATTTCTCTACAGTTGTTTCTTAAAAATTTTTCAGCCTGAATGAACGCACCGCACTTATTGCAGGCACTTTTAACCATTACATCATCACACCATCTCATTATCATTTGTATCGTTGCTGCTATAACTACTGGCTAAAATAATTTATTTTTATTTGATTTTGAGACAAAGTAAAATTTGAAATGACTTGACGTAGGGCGTGCACGTCTTGCAGCAGTTCTCCAGGTAGTATGACTGTTCGCACAATTGCAAGTTGCCTCTCGTCATCTCGTCACAGTTGTTGTAATAATCCAAATAACCTTCCTGACATTCTGGAGGTTTGTGAATAAATTTTTTGTAAAATATTGTGAAAGGAAGAAAAGAGATAAAATAAAGGGAAAAATAAATTTTTAAAAAATCAGAAAGAGAGAGAGTACTACCTTTGAGAAAAAAAGAGAGTGAGTGAGAGGGTGAGGAAGAAAGAATAAAAAGTTATAGAGAGAAGAGAACCTTGGGGTCCTTCTTTGGCAACCTGTTCGCACGTTCCACAACAATATTTGGCCATGAATTCATTTTCAGTGCAGACGCGTCGTTGTTGCTTTAGGTCGGAACATTTCGTCAGCCTCCCACTGTATTCTATCGGCTCCACACTGTCTCCGAATGGACAGGTTTCTTTTGAGGTTTTGGATTTTTTTTACAAATCTTTCTTACTTATTTAAAGTAATTGAAGTGAAATAATTTTGCTAATTTTCAGTTCGTATAAAGTAAATTTCGAATGATTTTGAATTATAGCACACTTAACCTTAATCACTTTCGAACCTTTGAGAACAGGCGCTTTGGCGTCGTAGACACATTTTTTATCCATACACCACTTTTTATTTGCGCACGAAGTGCCGTCATAAGCACTGTATCTGTTGCCCCCCAGACACCTCTTCTGCTTCGAATCGAAGCAGTATACCTCCTCACAAATCGTGTTCTCGGGACTCGAAGCTCTCTGTTGTTGCGTTGTTTTGGGGGTCAGAAATGTAAAATTTTTCATCTATTGATATCATAATCTGTAATCTAGATAGTATATATAGTTTTTGCAATAATGTCTTATACAGACTCTGCAGTAGTAGGATTCTGGCCCGTAGATGTAGCGGCACTGTTCGTCGATATCGAACTTCTGGCCGGGAAGGACTGATAACTGGCTGGAGAAGTCTTCCGCGGTCGTTTTTTCTTTCGGTTTTAGACAATTCTTATTAATTCTGAAATGATAGTTAGTAGAGTTGGTGTAGTTAGTTTAATTAGTATTATTTCTCTTTTAATTAATTCTCAGAAGTGTCAAGAACAACACCTAGCGCGTTTACACGATGACCAGCTCGCCGAAGTAGAGTCGATAAAAATTACGAAATTTAAAAAAGTTATCCACTCTCAACTAACTTTTTCAAAGCATCAACTTTATCATCAAAATACTTGACGGAGCATGGTGAAAATTTCTGGTGGTTGAGAGGCATTTGTTGAGCTTGCTGGATTGCCGTCATCAGGAACTGGTCATTTCCGTTACAGTTGTTGCCTTCTTTCCCTCTCTCTCCGTCATGGTTGGCACCAAGGCTGAAATGTGTGTGTGTGTGTGTGTGAATTCATCACAATGAATTGATGATTAGATGAATGATAGAATAGATAGATAATTAATCAATTAATTAATTAACAAATAAGTCGTTAGAAAATTAATAACGAAATTGAAGAAAAAATGTCACAATAGTGCTTGGGTTACAAATTTAAAATGTTATCAACGAAAGCAGACTTATGCCCGATTTCATGAGAGGCAAGATCGGCCGTGGAGTAACCGCCAGTATCAACAACCATGGCATTCGCGTTGATTTCACACACGGTACCCACCCAGGCGTAGCCTGGAGCGTTGACGCTGTCATACCTGGTGGAGTGGAGGTATTTTTCTGGTATTGTATCTGTTTTCAGTAATGTCTAGTGGTATTTTAAAGGTTTTTGATGGGTTTTCTTCTGAAATAAAAGGATGTTATAGTGCTTGTTGGTGATGTTGATATGTTTGGGTTTGATCTCAAGGAAATTCTCGTCTATCAATGGTATGAAAAATTTTCACACGTGTTCTGTTAACACATGTCGTGGGTTCTTTATCAATTAATCTATGAAGTTTAATTAAATTTATCAAATAAAAATTACTTAGTAAAAGCGGTTGCGACACTGAATTTTGGAAGTTTTCCTTGCAGCGACTTTTCTTTGATCCAGCTTTCGAACGCCTTCAGACCTTCAATTGTATCTACTTTGTTCTCGCTATTTTTCACTTTCGGCGTCTCTGTGAATGGCGATTCTTCTGGTGTCTGCGTTTTTTTGGATTTTTTAAAATTTAATTTCTATTTATTTCTTTTTCGATTTTAACAATTAATTTATTTACTTTTATTAATATTGTAAAATTTATTTATTTACTCAATTTTCTTCTACGAAATAATTTGTTTTTACTTTTATTAATATTTTAAAATTTATTTATTTACTCAATTTTCTTCTACGAACTAAATTGAAAACTGAGCAGAAATATGACGAACGGTGGCGATGTATATTGAGACCATTCGCGCTGAGTAGCGATACTTGGACGTCCTAATCGATTCGTATCTCTTACTAATCTGCAAATTTAGATTCCATTTATTAAAGAAAGAAATGAGAAAATAATAAATTAGAGAAAGATAGAGAGAGATAAAGAGAAAGAGAGAGTGAGACAGAGAAAGAAATAGGTTCATACCGCATTTACGATATTAGCGAAGTAATACTTGATGTTCGCCAAGACTTTCGCCTTGTCATTCTTGTAATAACCCATCCAACTGTTTTTATTCAATTCGCCAATTATTAATAGTATTATTATTATTATTATTATTATTATTACCATAGTCATAATAAAATCATAATAAAACATAATAATAACATTTTCTCGATCTAACGTTTTGAATATGGAGTAATCACTGACGACGAAAACATCAATGACCATTTCGCTGGCCGCTCTCTTATCGATCGCCATCATCTCGTCTTCATGTTCGTCTTCGAAAAATAATTAGTTTAGAAAAGTAAAACTGAAGAGATAGAGATAAAAAAAGAGAAAGAGAGAGAGAGAGTGTGTTTGTTGTAAAACATAAAAATTAAAAACTGGACTGTCTGGTTCTGCTGTGAAGTGAAGTTTCGCTATGTGTCAATTCGCACGCATTATTAATTCCTTTTTGATGGAAGTTTTGGCTAGAGAGTGACAATATGTAACAACAAGTTCAGCCACTCAAAACTGAGAAATATAATACAAGTAACTATTTATCGAGGCTGACTGGTCCAAAATATCTTAAAGTAAATTTGTGCACCAATCAATTCATTTGCCATCGCAATTACAATGGAATAAGCAATTAAATATAAATGGTCTAGAATAACTAATCCTAGAAAATTTCAGATAAATCTTACCATTGTAGGATCTGCCGTCAGCTAAAACACACAGAACCAAGAGCCCAAAACATAGCATAGAAATTTTCCCAAAATTCATCTTGTCGTTTGGTAAAGAAAATGCTTTTGCAGTTGTAAATATACTATCATTATGGATAATAATAAATTATATGATGATAATAATAAATTATATGACGATAATAATAAATTATATGATAATAATAATAAAGTATATATATATATAATTATTATTATAAATAGTTATTTCGGGAAGATCAATAATTTGCGAATCGCTAATTTTCAGCTGTTGAATTTTATTTGCTTTCGACGTTTTTTTGCGCGCGCGAGTTAAACTCAGTTGAAATTATATTTACGTGGTATTATTGTTATTATTATTACTATTTGACATTTGTGAAATTGGCAGAATGAGTGGTCATTCATCCGTTCGTTCATTTGTTCGTTCGTTCGTTCGTTCTTCATTCATCCGTTCGTTCATTTGTTTGTTTATTCATTCATTCGTTCGTTTTTTCGTTCGTTCATTCATCCATTTATTCGTCCATCCTTCCATCTTTATTTGATTGCAAATTACAAGCGAATAATCAAAAAGAAATTTAGATTTAATTCCAAGCGTCTATTTATTTTGCTGTTGGTAGTTTTTTTTAGAAATAATGTTAAATATTACCCACATTGTTATCATCGTCTTCATCAGGGTGGGCAAACTACTTAACAAAATTTTCCCCCGGGTCAAAAATTTGCTATTTAAGTACATATGCGGCCCTTCAAGGGTAAATATTTGATACTAAATAATGTATCATCGTCAACCTTCCTTGAAGCTCTCGTCGTCGTCGTCGTAATAATCATCTCAACCCCATCTAATCGTCATCTTAATCACTCCCAATAAAGATCGAAGTTTGGCTTGTAGTTTCCAACTTTAGCTAGGAAGGTATGTTGAAATTGCGAATTTGCGAGTATGAGACATCTTTTGTAAAAATTTGAAATAGGATGCTGGTTATTTTAAAAATATGAACTGGTAATACGCCAGAATGTGTGATTCTGTGTTTTCTAGCGGACACAATTAATGAGATAAAACATCGTTCGAGACATTTCTTCCAAAGTTTGGTTAAAAGGAAACACACGCTCATACACTCCCGAATACCAGGTAATTGCAAAGGAATTCCCGCCAATCACCTACATACACGTGGGTACGATGTGTCATTATTCTTTCTCCTAGCATAGTCTCTGCATATGTGTGATGTTTATTTAATGAGAAGTTTATTCCAAGTGTTGTTAATCCTTAACTTAAAAGCTCTATCGCTATTATTGCTAGTAGTAATTGTAAAAGTAGTAGCATGCAAGTTCGATGTTGTTGATGCTGATGTAGTTGTTTTACTTATTTCTTGTGTTGATTATTACGATGTTGTTGTTGTTGTTGTTGTCACATCTGATAATGATGAGGATGATTATGATGATGATGATGGTGGTGGTGGTGATGATGATGATGATGGTGACGATTTTGATGATGAGGATTTTAGTGCAATCTAGCTAACATAATTGATCTTAACGAGTCTGTCACTGCTAACAATAACAACGAGACAGCTTGGTTCGTTCATATCCACCATAATTATATCAATATAAAATAATAATAATTATTATTATAATTATTATTTTAATAATAATAATAATAATAAATGCGTGCACTGGTTGTTCGGTTTATAAGACTTAATTTTTAAAAATTCCTTTCAAATGATGATTGAACACGCAAACATTATATGATTTTATTAGATAATTTGCCCATCAATCAATAAATGAATCAATCAATCAATCAGTCGGTCGGTCCGTCGGTTGGTCAATCAATCAACCAATCAGTCTATCAATAATTCTTTTATTGATTGATTTATTCATTCCTTCAGTCAGTCAGTCACTCATTCATTTTTTCATCCTTTAAAAAATCATTCGATCGTTTATATTGCATGCAAATTAGTTTAGCATTGCAATTGATTAAACTATACTCTTTACTATAATTTGTGTCATGTCTTAGTGCACATGTTTGCTATTCTAACTTTTTAAATATGACAAAATATGGTAAATGTATGATAAAATATCTACTAAAACATGATTTTTAAATAATTTACAGACAGTTTTTTAGATAAATTACTGATTTAAACTAAATTTTTGTGACAGTTTTTGTACGAATTTGCCTGGCAAGACAAATTATTTTCATGCTTGATGCCCATTAGACCGACCATTCAGGCTGTAAACAGTGGCAGGGGAATTTTTAAATTTAAATTCATCTGTAAGATTTTTTTAAAACGTCGTTAATATTATTTAATTAATAAATATCAAAGAAGACTTATTTTCATTTATTAGTGATTTTATTTTAAATAAATTTTATTAAACTGCAATTGAATTCCACTTATTAAATGGTTAGTTAAGCTTAAGAATTAAGAAAGCATTAAAATTTAAAGATTAACATTTAAATTAAACTAAAAAAGTTTATAATTTATTTATTTATTTTATGTCAACATTTTCTCAACTTTGATAATTAGTGTAAAATATTTGAATTTCTAATAAACAATTACTAAATATTTTATTTTAATAAAACTTTATTATATTCTCATATTCACGAAACTTAGGTAGTAGAATACCTCTCTATAAGACTTTTTTTTATAGTTTTATAATTTATTTTATATACTTTTATATTTATAGTATAAGTCTAAATTTTAAATTTAAAACATGGTATTCATTATTGAATATATAATTATAATATAATATAAATATATATATATTAATACACATCGCTGCTGAGTTTTTAAACCTACCAGCACACATTATATATAAATACTTCATTTGTTGGAATGTGCTCACTTGTGTGTTTAAAATAAATTATTATTAAATTAACTTTTATTTAATTTTTATATTTTAAAAATTGTAAAAGTTATTATTGATAATAATAATAATAAGCATAATTATTATTTTTATTTGTATTATTCATAAAAGGAAGAATGGATGGACAGAAGATGAGAATTGGCTACTGGATGACAGAGAAGAAGTTTAAGAGGATAAGATTTAAGTTATTTATTGAATTGTGCCGGTATAATTATTTATTTATTTATAAATATTATAACTCATTCGTTCGTTCATTTATTCATTCATTCATTTATTTATTTTATTTCTACATTTATATATTATTTAGTTATTAAATTTAATGATGATGATGGTGGTGATGATGCTGATGATGACAGTTTTAAAATTATTTCAATATTGAAATTATTCTTCAGAAATTCTGGCATAGAATGCGTGGAGGTAATTCGTTGTTACCATCATCTTCATCATCATCATCTTCATCATCATCATCTTCATCATCATCATCATTGTCTTGATCATCATCATTATTATCACCTCCGTCTTTTTCTCATCCATCATCACTATCATAACTCCAGTTGGATTTGGAGAAAGATTTAGATAGCCAAGGTCCTTTCGACCTGATTCTTCACAAACTGACCGACCACTTTGTTAAGACTGTTGAAGATGGCTGTGTTAATGTGCTTCAGATGTTTCAAGTACCTGTCTTCTGTCTGTCTGTCTGTGTGTGTGTCTGAGTGTGTGTGTGTGTGTGTCTGTGTTTGTGTGTGTTTTTTAACCAATCGTCCTATCAACCAACCTACCGACCAATCAACTAATTACTCGACCAACCAATCACAGGACTACTGCAGCAGCCACAAAGATGACGTTCTCATCATCGATCCAATCTCCAGCGTCTTCAAGCTCTTCGACAGAAATGCCCAGTACAAACTCGCCGAAGAATGCCAGAAAATTGAAATTGATGGTGGTGATGATGATGGTAGTGATGATGATGATGAATATAATGGTGGTGGTGATGATGATGAGGGTGGAAGGGATGGTGGTGGCGAGGTTAGAGATAATTATTTGTTTATTTTTGCTATGTTAACGAGACATATGACGAGTCATCATCGTCGTCATCGTCACAACGAAACAGGCACTTATCCATTCTTCATTCCCTCATTCGTCGAACTGAAATCACGTGACAGCCTGGAGGATGACGTCATGACGAAATTTCATCTCTGCTTTCCTATTGGTCGGTGGATTGTTGAAGAAATGAATTAATTATTCATTTATTCTTGCGGCTAAATTACACAGATATACGCGCACATGCACACACACACAAACACATACAGACACACACACACACATTATTATAAATTGTTCCAGAAAAATATTTCAGAAGAGAGTTAATAAGTTATTTGTTCGACAAAGCATTTAGTCACTGTACAATTCTCTGAGGAATGTCAATAGAGCAGATAACATAACATAACATAAACATACAAACACACACAAACATACAAACACATATACACACGCAAACAAACACACGCAAACAAACACACGCAAACAAACAAATAGTTTGCAAATCCAGCATCTCAGTGCACTTGAACATGGATAACTTGCCGAAGAACATTCAACACCCTGATGAAGTTAGTCATGATGATGATGTTGACGATGATGATGATGATAACGATGATGATGATGATGACGATGATGATGATGATGACACACAGATGATGATAGTCATGAATGAGGATGGCCTCCGAGAAGATGTTAACTTCCCGTGCGTCCTTCAAAACTTCATTAACCACGACGCCAAACTGTTCAAAGTTTTTGTAGTTGGCGACAGGTTATGATGATGATGGTGGTGGTGGTGAGAATTATGATGATGGTGAGGATGGTGATGATAATGATAACAAAATTCATCAACAACAACAGGCATTTCGTTGTTGCTAGGCCTTCAATTAAGAATTTGTACGCCAATGAAAGTAATGATGATGATGATGATGATGATGATGATGATGATGATGATGATGGTGATGATGGTGATGGTGATGATAATAATGATGATGATTTCACATTCAACACCGAATACAGATGCAAAGACAATTCATTTTAGGAGCAGTGATATCTCCAAGTCAAATTCGACTAGTTATTTGAATGTTGTGAGTTGGTTGGTTGGTTGGTTGGTTCGCTGGTTGGTTGGTTGGTTGGCTGGTTGGTTGGTTGGTTGTTTGATTGATTGATTAGCTGACCGGCTGGCTACTATTTTCTTGATTGATTGATTAATTGGCTGACTGATCGCCAGACTGACCAACTCTTTATTCATTTATTCAATCATCCACTCATTCAATCATTCAATCATCCACTCACTCATTCAATCATCCACTCACTCATTCATTCACTCATTCATTCACTCATTCATTCATTCACTCACTCATTCATTCATTCATCCAGATGGATGAGAACCAAAAGACGGATGTGGTAGTGGTAGTGGATGAGGGAAGGATCGGTTCGCTGGTGGCCTGCCTGAGGTTGCGACTCGGCTTGGACCTGTTCGGGGTTGACGTCATCGTCGAGAATGCCACTGGCAGATACGCCATCATCGACATCAATCCATTTCCGGGTATCATCATTATCAGTACTTCCTTCGTCATCATCATCACTACTACCACCACCTTCATCATTACTATCATCATCACCATCACCACTACCATCATCATCATCATGATAGGTTATGATGGAGTTATGGATTTCCCTAGTGTTCTGTTGGAATTTATTCGGAGAAAGCTGACAATTTTTAAACATCATCATCATCATCAACAACAACATCATCAACAACAACATCATCATCATCAACAACAACATCATCATCATCAACAACAACTTCATCATCATCATCAACAACAACATCGGCCAATCGAAATTTCTCAAAACCTATCAAATGTATTATCATTGAATAGTTCGTCTGCTAGTAACGAAGTTTTTTGTGTTTCGTCATCATCATCATCATCACCGCCGCCAAACATTATACCATCATTACCATCATCAACCGTGACGTCATCATCGCCGACTATGACGTCGTCGCCATCGTGATTTTATAGCGCTGAATTTATATTTAGAAAAAATGTTTTTATAACTCTTATAATTTTAGGTCAAGTGATAAATTATTTTCTTTTATTTTAGAAAATTATAACTAGCAATAGAAATAATAATTATAGTTATAATAATATAGTATTAAGAATCTATTTAGCATTTTTCCAACTTATTTTTGTGAGATTTCTTCCCTGCTATACCTCCTTTTAACTTTATTCACTCAATTATTTTATTGATTAATTAAATTTATTTATTAAATAAAGTTTTGACAAAAAAATTGATTTTGTGTGTGTGCGTGTGAGTGGGTGTGTGTGTCAGTGTGTGCGTGTGAGTGAGTGTGTGTGCCAGTGTGTGCGTGTGAAAGATTATAAATGCCGTTGACGTCATTTCCGGTTCTTTGTGCATTACGGCCAGGATATACATACAAAAGATCAAGATCATCATCATAACCGTCACTAGATGGGGGTGATGATGACGAAGATGTTGAAGATGACAATCGTTATCATCATCGTCATCATCATCGCCATTAATCTGTTTTCTGGACGGTCAGTTAGATCTATATATCGCGATCAGTAATACACAGTAACCGAGAAATATTTGTGTGTTTGTGTTTGTATGTTTGTTTGTTTGTGTTTATGTATGTATGTGTGTATGCATATATGTGAGTAAACAAACAAACAATTTATTGCCAAATAAATAAATAAAGGGTAGAATGAGTTAATGGACGGATTAAGCGAAGAAATGAATGAATAGATGAATGAATGAATGAACGAACAAACAAATGATTGATCGAATGAATGAAGGAATGATTGATTGATTGATTGATTGATTGATTGATTGATTGATTGAATGAATGAAAATTCGAATTTATTCTATACAAATCTATAGTGCAGATGATAACAATGGGTTACATACAATGGCTCACAAAGGAAAGAAATTTATTATAAATAAGCAATAAATAATAATAATAACAACATTAATAATAACAATAAAAATAACAATGACGTCACTAACCAGACAACAACAATCACATTAACAACAATAATAAGTTATAATTGTAGCAATATTAATAATTATTATTATGTCATAATAATTATAAATCATATAATAACAATAAATGATAATAATAATATTAAATATGAATAGTAATAATTTTTAATAATATTAATTATCATCATCATTAACATCATTTTCATCATCTCCAAGATAATTATTATCATCATCAACGTTAAAAAAACATGTTTAACCTGGAGTTTAAAAATTACACTTCCTATAATTCATTATATTTTGTGATACTGCTCTTTTGATAGTATTACTACTACTACAACTTCTACTACTACTACAACTTCTACTACTACTACTACCTTTACTACCACTACAATTACTTCTACTACTTCTACTATTACTGTCTTATAATTACTTATTTTATTGCTACGAAAATTGAAAATACTTCGAACGTTACTAACTAAATTGCTTAAAGAGATGATATGATCTGGACGATTTCACTTATATAGTATATACTTATATATAGTACATACAATATATATATATATAATATATATATATATATGCATGTATAAGTATATATATATAAATATTATATATATATATATATATATATATATATATATATATATATACTGCTACTACTTGTGTATGTATAATGTATGTATTTTTATTGTTAAATTGTCTTTCGATGTCATTTCTGCTGATGATTTATCTGTCTGCATATCTGTCTGTGTGTGTGTGTATGTATGTATGTATGTATGCGTGTGTGTGTGTGTTTGTTTGTGTATGTATGTGAATGTTGTTTATGCATCTATGTATGAATGCATGGCTACATTTAATATGTTAGTATATATATGAACTGAATTCATCGTTATCATCTTAATCAACAAAATGGTCATCGTCATCATTATCTTCTTCTACATCATCATCATCGCCATAATCTTCGTAGTCGTCGTCATCATCGTCATCATATGTGCACATATGTCTCCACGTGTGGGGTGTGTGTGTGTGTGCGTGCGTGTGTGTGTCATATTAGGAGAAATTTACATCCACTTGAAATATTGATTATATGTACAGTTTAGTTTTATGAATTTATCATCATCACCTTCACCATCGTCTTCCTCGTCGGAACGATCGTTATCATCCCCATCGCTATCATTATCATCCTGAATAACATCTTTATCATCATCATCACCGCCATCTCTCTAATTAACATAATTTTCATTAACATAATCACTAGCCCAACTATAACCACCACCATCATTATTATCGTTATTATTATAATCGAGATAAACATCATCAACATCTTAAACATCATCATCATCGTCTTCATCATCAACATCATCATCAACATCATCATCATCATCGTCGTCTCCATCATCATCATCACCGTCGTCAACGTCTTAAATGCATCTGTTACAATTGCTTAATTTGTAATAGCTCATCTTCTTCGTCGTAATCATTATCTTTATAATTTTCAAGCTATTTGAGTTAGGACATCTTGAAAGTGTTTATTCAGGCGAAGAGAGAAAGAGAGAGAGAGAGAGAGGGAGAGAGAGAGAGAGAGAGAGAGACAGAGAGAGAGACAGAGAGAAGATAATAACATTTATAACAATATCATAACAATGGATAACAATATGCATTCACAAGCTCCTAACAAAGCGTTCAGAAATATAAAAAGACAACAAATTTTTTCAATTTTTTTTTGTTCTCTATATCTTTTAAATTCGCTATATAAACGTCATTGGTGTCGTTGATTTATTTTATATTATTTATCGCTTTTTTGTATTAAAATCGATGCATTTGTATGCATTTGTATGCATGTTTCTATGGTTTGCTTGATATGATGAACTATTTTCATTCTGAAAATGCCTAATTCGTCAAAATAACTTCATTTCAAAATTAATCATGTGCTACAAATGACGTCACTGTTAATATTTTTCAAGAATAATCAAACCAACTCGCACATCCCTATTTTTCACAACAAACTAGTTCCTACCAACATCGCCGTCCTTTCTTTCTTTCTCGTGTTAGCGATCGGCGGGATCTATTTTCATCTGGTTGAATCCATAAAAATGGTGGCCCAAAAAAAAACAGTAAGTATAAAAAATAATGTTTTAAATACTATTTCAACATATTTCATGCTTCAATGGCGATTAATTTTTTTAAATTTACAGAAAAAGGCGATCGAGAGCATCAACTCTCGCTTGGCTCTCGTCATGAAAAGTGGTAAATACTTTTTAGGCTACCAGCAGACGTTGAAAACTTTGAGGCAGGGAAAGGCGAAATTGGTAATCATTGCCAACAACACCCCGCCTCTCAGGTACTATCGCCAATTTGTTTTTCGATGGATAAGTTATTTCACATTTTTAATTTTATTTCATTTCAGTTTTAAATACTTTTTTTCCTATATTCGCTTTTTGAAATCAAAATTATATATTATTGCAATGTTTTTTATAAATAAATGTATTGTTATAATAATTTGACTTCGGAGCACATTGCTGAGAAGAAGTCCTTTAGGAATTTAATTTTAAACATTATTTTTTACAAGATTTTGAATAATATTTAAACTGGGAATGGAGTTTTTACTCTAAAAAAAATCGACAATGGCATTAGCTAGATTATTGAAAGGTTGTATATTGTATTGTTAATGCAAATTGTTTGCTCTAAAATTACTGATATTTGCTAAAAAAAGACATTCTTAAAAAATCTGATCACTATTACACTACCTGCTGGCTAAAAAATTAATTTACCATTTATTCCATTAATGTTGTTGCAGGAAGAGTGAGATCGAGTACTATGCCATGTTGGCCAAAACAGGGGTCCACCATTACAATGGCAACAACATTGAGTTAGGGACTGCTTGCGGAAAATACTTCAGAGTTACAACACTCAGTATTACTGATCCAGGTTAGTCAGATCAGAGATCATTAAATGAATGATCCACTAAAAATTATTTAAAAAAAAATTTTATTTTCATGTTTAATGTTTAAATTTATATAAATAAAGTATAGAGTAATTTTCAACTTGTTTACTGCTTATTTGTAGCATTTCTCAATCTTTTTTAGATTATTAATATTTATTTGTAAAACTCATCCTCACACACTAGGTGACTCTGACATCATCAGAAGCATGCCAACAACAGAGATGGCCTCATAAAGCAATGACATCCAATAACACAACTGATAGCTTTTTGTTTTTTGATTTGTTGTAATAAATAAGTCAATCAGAACAATGGGTTAATGTTCTTGTAACAAAATAAAATATTTTAAAGCTGTTTTTTCACTGTAACAAATTAAAAGTTTATAAACTGTTCGTTGTTCATTCAAATGTAATCACATGAAACAGACTTTAGTTAATAAAACTTAACAAATGAAAAGTTAATATTATGATTGTTGAATTGTCACAGAGCTTAGCACAGCAAATAAATATTCTTGTTTTAGTAATGAGTCTTCTGAAATTTTAGGGCATAGAACTTGAATCAAGTCCTTCGTGTGGAGTTCAGGTGCAAACCAATGTATCACTCCTTTTATTTTGTCTGGAGATGAGTTATCTGGCAGTAAAGTGACACCGACTGATTGTTTTTTCTTCAAATAGGCCAGCAGTGATTTGAATGGTTTGATGTTCTCGCTGTTTTCTGGTTTTGTTTCTTCAGATGAGACCGCAAAAAGTAAACTGCATTCTGAATCGTCACTGTTGATGAAGTTTATCACACTTGGGAAGGTGGGGCTGTCGATTTGTAAGAGTTTGTTAAACTTGAGGGTAGTCAGTCCCTTCAAGAGGTCATCGATCAACTTCACATGACCGCACTGCATGTGGATTTTTATGGGGAAGGTGGACAGTTTCGCAGCGAGGTTCCCTTCCCAGATGACTTGAAGGTTCTTTGCTAGGCTCTTCAAATTATCAACCTCCGATAAAATAATTTTCAAATTTTGAGGAATGACGTCAAATACTTTGTTCGGAGCTTTTATTGTTATTAAATTAGAACTGTTGACAGCATTCGGCATTGATGAAGCTGTGGAATTAACTATATGGGCAGGTGAAACATTACCTTTATCATCTTGAGACTTTGCCAAGTTCTGTGAACTCATCAACATTGTTATGTGGTTTTCATCTGAGTAGTCCAACCTAATGAAACAGCCAGGGTTGATCTCGTGGCCCTGCAAGGTGTTCAGCACAGATGTGGCCTGCTCAAGAGATCCAAAGATTATATATGCATAATACCTCCCTGGTGACCATTCAACCTTCAGCGGATTGAAACTGCCAAAACATTTGTCAAGATCTTCTCTTGTAGTCTGGGGACCAAGACCTCCAACCCACAAGCAATTTGAAGGAACATGTTTGCCGTACCCTATGCGACACTGAAATTTTCTGATATATTGCCCCGACATTTCTGCTTTGGCTCTTCTTGCCATTTCTAAATTCACAAATCTAATGAAGGCATACACGCTGCTGTGCATTTGCAGTGTCGACCGTTTAATATCAATGTCCTCAACTATGCCATACCTGCCAAATATAGTGGCCAACTCTTCTGCAGTTATCTCGTAATCCAAGTTGCCTATGAACAAGGTTCTTGTAGCATTCTTCTCATCTGAATCATCATGAAAATGAAAATGCTTGTCATTTCTGTATGAATTTTTCATTGTTGGCATGTCGGGATTTAATGGAAAATCTTTGTGTCTATAATCCATCTTTCCGGGAATGATAGGCGGCGAAGATCTGATTCCCGGCGGTGGGTACAACTTTTTTTCTCTGGTATACTCGTCGTTGACGATGTCCACGCAGATGCCAGGTTCGAAATCTAAGTCTTTGTTCTTGTAGGCCAGCCTGACGTTCATGGCGTCCTCGTAGTATCTGAACTGGGTGTGGGCGAATTTCAATCCGATGGGGTTCTTCATGACGCATATCATGTACTCGCCGAATTTCCGGAACTCTTTGTAAATGATCGCTTTGACGCTTTCATCGTCCAGCCTCGGACTGAACAGACCCACCGACAACGTGCGAAAAATTTGATTTTCTCCTTTGTCCATTTTGTACTTTTTAAATTTTTCATCACTAAAATGTTCTCGCTCTTTGTGCTTAGACATTTATATAGTAAAATTTTAACAAGCGAAATGTTTACTTCTCTGTTTTATCACTTACCATAGTATTAATAATAGACTACAATGCAAAGATACAAAAGTTAATTAAAAGCTGTGATCGTAAACTAATCATTTTTAATCTCATTTTTTGATTGATTTTTAAACAAATAATTTACAATTAAATAAATTATTTTAATATATGTTCAAATAAACTTCAATAATAGATCAAATTTTAATTTATGAAACCTGTGCAGATATAAAAAAAATACTGGAAATCATCGGAAAACCCAGCAGAAACTGAAACCAAATTACACACAGACACACTACACTCGCTTGCCTATATATTAATAAAGTCTCTTTGTATTTAGCAGATTTGACACACCTTGTTTTTTCGCAAAATTGTCAGTGTTGTCAGATCATAAATGAAAATTATATAAAATATTTGATCGCATTTCATATTCATTGATCTGATTAGCTTTTTTATTTTTTATTATTATTGATTTCTTCATATTTTTTGTAATTTGAGTTTTTTTTGGTTTGATTTTTGGAGTAGAGGGCTTGAGGAAAGAATAGTAGAAAGATGGAACCCATATCTCGCCCTGGAGGTAATTAAATTAATATATTTTACGAATTATTTATATTTACATTAATTATAACTATAATTATATTTATAACTCAAACAATTATGACGTACGTGTGACGTGGGTTGGGGCGTATTGTTGGTGTTTTCGATTTTTTCAGTAAAATATTTACCGATCATATGAGAAATCTAATAGCAATAATATTGTGCAACAACTTCAAGTACCAACATATTGAATGTGAATATTCCAGTTTCACTCCACACACACACACACGCACGCACACACGCAAACACAAACAAACACATATTGCCCTCGACATTTTCGGTTTCCGTTTATGCTGGGTTTTTCCGGGTGACGTTTGCATTCAAGCGTAATCACACGTGCATGCTTTCTCTCTCTCTCTCTCTCTCTCTCTCTCTCTCTCTCTCTCTCTCTATCTCTTTTTCTCTCTCTCTCTCTCTCTCTCTCTCTCTCTCTCTCTCTCTCTCTCTCTCTCTCTCTCTCTCTCTCTCTCTCTCTCTCTCTCTCTCTCTCTCTCTCTCTCTCTGTGTGTTGATTAAGCAAATTATTCAAAAGAGAATTAATAATAATAATGCACACACACACGCGTGTACAAATCCTTAATATCTGCAAATTAGGCAGACTAAGGGGCTCCATGATTATGCCCACTTTGATTCAGAACCTGAAGAATATTCTGGAGCAATATCCAGACGATGGTCAAATATTAAAGGTATTTCTTAATTTGAGGGACGTGTGTTGTGTGCCTGACATATGTTTGACATGTGTATGACGTATTTTTGGTGTGTGTGCGTGTGTGTGTGTGTGTGTGTGTGTGTGTGTGTGTGTGTGTGTGTGTGTGTGCGACGAACTTGTGATGTGTCGTTCGTCGTTTCATTTAAATTTTTGCCAACTAAATGAGAAAAAATGGCAATAAAAAAGAAGACAACGACGTATTAAATGTTGATATGAAATTTCTCATTAAACCTTACTTTTCAATTACAGGAAATAATTCAAAATGCTGAAGACGCCAAAGCCAGTAAGGTCGTTTTCTTAATTGACATGCAAACCTATGGCACAAATCCTAAGAAACTTTTCTGCCCAGAGTTAGCCATGCACCAAGTAAAATTATACTTTTATTTAGAAATTATTTTCAACTGAAAATTTTAAAAACATATTTATGTAGCCAAGTTTTTAGGTTTTGTTTATTTAAACCATATCAACAAAATACAAAAATTCTCATCATACTGCACCGCTGGTAAAGGGGGTTAGTTTATGTAATGGTACAATTATATAGTAGCAGCGCGTTTGTGTAGCGGTGACCTGGTTTGAATGCACACATCTCCAGCCATCATAGTCATTTCGTATATATAAATGTATGTATGTGTGTGCGTGTGTGTCTGTGCGCGCGCGTTCGTTTTAGCGAAAATTAAAAAAATATTTCAGAGATAACTATATTAATGAAAATTTTGGAAAATTTGTTACATTTTGTCACACATTCTTGTTTTTTTTGTGCTGCATTTAAAGGCCAGCAAAAAATTACAGAGAAAGTCTCTTATTCTCAGATACACACGAAAAAATTTTTTCTGCCCAGGGTCCAGCTCTCTACGCCTACAACGATGCTATTTTGGCCGATAAAGATTGGGATGGGATCAGAAAGTTGGGGTCCAGTAACAAAGTCGACGATCCTCTACAAGTTGGACGCTTTGGTCTCGGGTTCAAATCCGTCTTTCACCTAACTGGTTCGTTGATTTGTTTTTTTTAGTAGATGCTTCATTTCTATGTAAATTTTTTTTGGATTAAATTTTTTTTTAAAAACATTTTTATGATTATTTTTGAATTTGTTTTATTTTAAGATCGAATTAAATTGTTTAATTTTAAATTATCTAATAAATGATTCCTTAATTAATCTAAAATTAAATCAAAATGAAACCAAACAAGTTTTTTCATTTTGAAACTTTTAAATTAATTTTCGTCGAGTTATAAAATTAAAAATTTTCAGCAAATGCAACAGTAAGTTAACAATAATCATAAATACTTGACGAGTAAAAATATTTATTAATTAATTGATAAATAACCATTGAAGACTTGCCTGGTATATACAGTGGAGATGTTATTGGTTTCCTGGATCCACACGAAAAGTATTTCCACAAAAAGTCAATCTATACATGGGATTTTACGTATGAAGAAGAAAGAAACGAGATTTTGACACTTTCTGATCAGTTCAGTCCATTCAAGCAGAGTTTGTTCAACGTCAATGGTAACAATTTTCATCACGGTCGTTTTAATGGAACTATATTTCGATTCCCATTGAGAAAAACCAAATCCGAATTATCTGATAAATGTTGTAGTGAGAATGATTTGAGGCTGTTGTTTTACTCACTCGAGAAGGAAAGCCATTTACTGCTACTGTTTTTAAAGAATATTGAATCGATTGAGTGCTACAAGAAATATCCGGACGGTAGCATAGAGGAAATTATTAAGATTAAAATCAGCGAAAGTGTGAAGAGTATTGCAAAGTTGAAGAGAAAAGAACTGCTGTCAAAGTTAGAATCCTCATTTGATGCTAACCCTAAAGCTCCTCCGTTTTCAGTTTCCTATCCCTTATCACTTGAAGTTTCTAAAAGCCAGACATCCGAGACAACTAATTGGATAATTACACAACACTTCAACGGCCACGATACTAAGTTCAACGATAAAAATTATTTGCCTTTAGTTGGGATAGCGACGAAAGCTGAAATGAATATTTCGGCTCCGTACGGACAGATTTTTTGCTTCCTCCCACTCCCACTAAAATCAGAGAGTCCCACAGGATTTAATTTTCACATCCACGCCTCGTTTGCATTAGAACAGAACAGGCGACACATCAAGCATGTATCCGCGGATCAGGATCCGAACAATATATCTGACAAGGATCTTCTGTGGAACCAATTTCTTCTTTCGGAGGTTTTTTCGAAGTGTTTGATCGAGCTGATAACGTTTCTTATTGGTTGGCATTCAGATGATAACGACCATTCAGTTCCATTTCTGAGTAGTTACAAGAGTGCAGAGTTAAAAAGTGATTTTGCAAATTTCGTGTATTCACTGATGCCAAACATGGTTGATGTTAACGTGCAGTGGAGGGGATTGGTCGAATCATTTTACAAGCACCACTTCAACGGTGTTCAATTTTATTCAAATTGCAGTTCAGCCTGGTTAGATAAAAGGCACTTGTATTTTCTAAACACAAATGACGAGTTTGAAAAACAAATTTTCATCTTAATAATGAAAACAGATAAAAAAGAAAACTGCGCAATACCGATCCATTTATTAAACAAGCTAACTCCATACAATATTTGCATTTTGACAAACCAAGAGTTATGTAAAAGTTACAAAAGGCACCAAACTTTATTAAATTTTAGTGAAGAGGCGAAATTGAAACTACTGAAATGTTTTGAAGGAATTCAACATGACTTGATAGGCACCGACCTGCTGCCCCTTATGGACTCGACATGGACCACCTTTCAAAGCAAGTCTGCAACGAATAAAATTTTTATTTTGGACGGCAAATACGATGAAGAAAAATTATTTCCGATGCAGAAAAATAAATTTCTCGATAAAAATAAAATTTCAAAAACATTGCTTAATTTTGCTCAAAAAAATACACAAGTTTGTCACCTTGATGAATTTGATTTTGCTGACTTAGTTAGAGATGCTTTGGCAGATTTTGAAATAAACAATAAAAGCTGTTTGACAATTGACTGGTTGGAAACAGTTTGGAAGCATTTAAGGCAGGAGTTTCCCAACGATCTGTCAAAATTTGACGGTCTCCGCCTGCTACCAATCAATGAACGCCACGTTGTGAAGTTGTCCAAGAACCAATGTATTTTGCAAAAGCTTGAAAATTTACAAATTAAATCCCTGTGCAAAATATTGAATTTGACTTACATTGAATATTCAAACTGCAATATTTACAGTCATTCAGCATTAAAAGATTATACACTTGAATCAAATTATTTGAGTGTCATCAAACTCATCATTCATAGCTCAAATTATTATGAAATCGTTAATAAATTTACTTTTCTTGAAAATGGCGATAAGTTAAATTTTCTCATAGGCATAGCTAAAGAAACAAAAGACAAAAGATTTGATGCAGATGAAATTTGTTTGTTGAAAGCATTGCCAATTTTTCAAACGATAGATAACGGCAACAGAGATGCACAGAGGTTTGTGTCAATAGAATTAGTAAACATGGCTCCCGACGAACCTCTTTATGTACCTGTGCCGTCTTTCGGACATTTGTTGGACATCAATGATCATTACGCGAAAAATCTAGCTAAAAAATTAGGAGTGCAGTTTTTAAGCCATTCTACTTTGATAGACGAATTTTATTTGAAACCTGTGAAAGAAAAGAAAAGTTACTTTTCTAACGATGAAATTCAACAACTTTTGAAATTTTTATCGCAACATATTGAGACATTATCTGCATCATCAGTCTTGTTTTTAACGACGTATCCATTTATTACAACTTCAAATGATCGGCTTGTTTCTCCTTCGCAATTGTTTGATCCTTCAGAAAAAAATCTTTCAAAAATTTTGTCCGCTGATCATTTTCCTTCAGGAGATTGGGCCAAAGTTGAATATATTAAAATGCTTAAATGCTTGAAATTGAAAAACATAAAAAATTTGTCAGTTAATGATTTTGAAGAAATGGCTAAAAATATTTGTAAATCAACTAAATTTTTAGAACTGTTCAACATTTTCATGGATGTCTTAACAGAGAGGATTGAATTGTTAGAAAATGGTTGTCTGCGAGAGCTTCTTATGGAAATCGAATGTTTTCCAGTCGAAACAATAAAATCGCAAAACTATCCGGAGTCATTAAGACACAAGGGCAAATCAGAAAATAAAAATCTAGCATGCTATCACCAGGTTTATTCGACATTACATGAAAATTTAATTGGTTCAGATAGCTTTTTAATAAATTCAAATAAATGGCCCGCTATTGAAACAATTTTAGGTTGGTCATCTTCTCCACCAATGCACTTAATAAAATCACATTTATTCAATATAGTTCAGTGCTTTAATTCGGCAGAAACACATCTCTATATGAACATACTTCATGACATTTACAAATATTTGAACAAACAGTCCAAATTTCAAATTTCTATGTGGTTTTCAACTGATTTCGAATGGATCTGGAACGGGGAAGGGTTCTCGAGCAAGAATAACATGATACTAAATACTAACTCATACAAGCCTTATATCCATTCAATGCCGCCAGAATTAAATAATTATGATTCTCTGTGGAAAAGTTGTGAAATTCAAACAGAGGTGGATCCGATGAATGTTTTAAATAGAATCCGAGACTATCACGTTGAAAACGCCAAAATTCTAAGTGACGATCGAATTGATTCAGATTTGAACTTAGCAGTACAGACTTTAAAAAACATTGCTAACAATATCTCACGTTATGAAAATGTTGACGTGTGCATTCCAATTAAGACAAACGAAAGAAGGTTAGCGTTCGAGTTATCAACCAACTGCGCTTTCTGTGACGAGGAGTGGTACAAATTAGGCTTCAACTGCAACGACCTGGACGCAAATGTCTTTCTAATTCACGAAAAAATTCCAATCGACGTTGCAAAAAAGTTGAACGTGCCGAACTACGTCAGCAAGTACCTGAACGCCGATGAATTCGATTGCGAATATGAACAGTCGGAAGAACTTACCGTTAGAATAAAAAATCTTTTGAAGGATTACACCGACGGCCTAGCAATATTCAAAGAACTTATTCAAAACGCTGATGACGCCAAAGCCAGCGAAATAAGTTTCGTGTATGACCAGCGGCAAAATCTTGAAGCCAGATCAATTTTATTTGATGAAAAGATGAAGGATTTACAAGGACCCGCCATCTGGTGCCACAATAATGCTACCTTCACAGATAGAGACTTCGACAATTTAATTAAACTAGGTGGCGCCACAAAAGAAGGTGAGAGAAATAAAATTGGAAAGTTTGGACTCGGTTTCAATTCAGTTTACCATTTAACAGATGTACCGATGTTTGTCAGCAACCAAAATATCGTCTTCTTCGACCCACACAGGAAATATTTGGGCAAAGCTGTGCATAGCAAATCGTGTGCTGGCATCAAATTGCATCTGAAAAAGCACAAAAATAGAATTGAAAAATTTATTCATCAATTCATGCCGTTTCATAAAATTTTTAGCTGTGATTTTAGCGAAGATTCAAAAATGAGCAAGTATGATGGGACGTTGTTTAGGTTCCCACTGAGGACAGAGAAACAAGCGAGTGAAAGTTTAATTTGTAACAAACATTACAATTCAAAAGAAGTCCGAGAGTTGATCAAATGCTTATTCAACCTGGGTGAAAATCTGATAATGTTCACTCGAAACATCCGCAAAATTCAACTCTTTTCTATCTCGAACGATTCTGAAAATTTAAACATGGAAAAGATATTCACCGTCGAAAGAAATGTCATCACAGACCTGGTGCGTGATGTTGAAAAGGTTTGCAATATTTTCAAACCACACCGTCATACCTCTGAGTCTGAATTTAACGAAATCGAGTCCGAATTTAACGAAACCTACACCAACAACTTGTACATTATTGAAATGAAAACAACTGAATACGAGGCTGCCATGTCGAAAAGAGAAATTGAATCTTACTGGATTGTTAGTTGGTGCCACTGCAGTAATAGCTCTTTTTATAATTCTTCGACTCTTCCAATTGGCTCAGTTGCTGGTAGGTTAATAACTACAAAAAATAAAAATCTGTATGATGTGCCAGAAAAGTCTGATGACACAAAAAGCTACATCTACTCATTTCTACCTGTCTCCCTCGCTTGCAATTTTCCAGTTCACGTTAATGGAAACTTTTCTTTGAACTCAAGCAGAACGCATTTGCACGAGAGAGACCATTTCGATAAAGAGGATAGGAGGTGTGAGTGGAATGAATATTTGATGACAGGCCCTGTGGCAGTGGCCTACTGCCACATGTTGCATCACCTAGCAAAAATCACAACTTCAAATATTTACGATATCTTTCCCGTGAATACAGGCAACCGATCTAAATATCATGCACTATTAACTGAATCAGTTTACAAACATTTGTTGATTTCGGATTATGAAGTCTGCAAATCTGTTTTGAAAGATAATATATTCAAACTCACGAAATGTTTGACGATGGATTTGGTCTTGAGAAATTTAAATTTTGCTGATAGTGTGTTTTCAATTCTCCAGCTAACAGCTGTTGAAAGTTCGTTCACCGATTTGCCTGTCGAGGTTCTCAATTCAATTTTACACTCAAAATTTAGTAAATTGTTTTCCAGCTGTTTGATCTCGCCAGTTAACTTTTACAAGCAGTGGTTTTTACCACACATGTCAGAAATTCCCCTGCTTCCAAAAATGAATGTTTTAATCGAAACAATTTTAAACAAAGATTTGAAAGAGTTTCTTCTTCATGAACAATGCATTCCAGCCACACCATTTGGTGATCGTTTGTTGAACGTAAAAAGTCTGATAGATCCGGAATGCGAATTAGCTGAATTGTACGATCCGAATGAAGAAAGATTTCCATTCGTTCCTCTATCACTCGACCGTCTGAAATATTACACCGAACTGAGAACGCACGGAATGACTCGAAAAGAAATTTCTTGCGAGGATATAATTGATAGATGTCGGTCCATTGAAAACAATCCAGATACTGTCTGCAAAAGATTGAAGATTGTTATAGAACAAATTCGATTAAAGGTGAACCAGAACAAATTTGATGAATTCAAAAATATCGTCCAAGGCATTCGAATGTTTGAAAAAATTGAGAAACCGAAAGAATGGATCCTCAGTTGGAAAATATCAAATTTTCCGTTAGTTTCAATTGAGGAGAGCTATTTGAAATCTAACGCCATGCTGCCCGCCGTCAATCATTTTATAATAAATGAAAAAATTTGTAACCTTGGAGATTTGAAATTATTTTTTGATTTAAAAAACAAAACAATCCCATTTGAAACGATGAAAATTTTTTTAAACGAAATTTCAAACAAATTTGATGAAACTGACAACTACAAATTGAAAGATGAAAACTATTACAAGTTTATCACTGATGTTATGAGCGAATTTAATCAAGAGGTTAGCAAGAATGCTTATCATGATTTTCTATGTGACCTCAAAACTTCAAAATTTATTTTAGCAAAGGATACCAATTCATTGACGCTGGTTTCAATTGATCAGTGTTGTTTAGGATTTCATCCAAATTTGTTGCCGTACATTTGCTCACACAGTGATTGCTATTCACAGATTGACATGAAAACATGCAAAGAGGTGTTAGGGATGTCGGAAAGTTTTAAAGCTGATGATTACGTGCGCGTCTTAAATACGATTAAATCAAAATTTAATAGCAATGAACTTGACGAAAAACACGTTTCTATAGTTGTTCAAATCTTGTCATTATTGGCTGAACATACTAAAGATTTAAATCCAACGAATGAATTATTGAGTAACATTCCAATAATAAACGAAAATAATATTTTGACTCCATCAAATGAAATTCTTTACAACAATTTAACTTGGAACAAATTGAAGAACAATTCATACTGTAATAGCAAAATATCTCGAGATACGGCAACGAAATTAAAACTGAAGTACGTAGCAAACAACATCATGTCGGAATACAAGATTTCAATGCCTTTTGGCCAGCATGAAAATTTAGTTGACAGATTAAACACCATCTTGACGTCTTACAATTTGAAAGAAGATGTTCTGAAAGAGATGCTACAAAACGCCGACGACTCAAACGCTACTGAAGTTCATTTCATACGTGATGAGAGGCAGCATGGAACCGTAAAAATATTTGACGGGTCGTGGCAACCGCAGCAAGGGCCAGCTCTCTGCATTTACAACAATAAATCATTTTCAGAGCAAGATTTAGAGGGCATACAAAAGTTAGGTAGAGGTTCGAAAAGAGATGATGTCCTCAAAACAGGACATTTTGGCGTTGGCTTTAATTCGGTTTATCAAATCACCGACGTACCATCCTTCATAACAACTGTTTTGGGTGAAAAAAATTTGGGTACTGTTGTCGGATTTTTTGATCCAAATTGTAAATTTTTGCTCGATTCAGATAAGTCCAACCCCGGAGGTTTGTATAAAAAAGAAGTGCTTGCTGAAACGTTTACTGATGTTTATTCTGGGTTTCTGCAAGATTTTGAAAAGTATGACGTATCAGAGGGAGGAACTATTTTCCGTCTGCCGTTAAGAAATGCTAAGTCAAAAGAAAAATCGGAGATAAAACAGGATGTGGTGTACTTAAAAGATATAAAAGAAATTTTTAATATTTTTGAGACAAAAATATGCGAAAGTCTCATATTTTTAAAGTCCATCACCTCTCTCTCTCTTGTTGTTATTGACGAGAAAAAACACGATGAAGTAATTTTTAATGTCAAGACCATTCTCTCAAAATCTGATGCAACAAAAAAATCAAATTTCATAAAATCTGTAAAAAATGGTGCTAGAAATTTATCCAAAAGAAAAATTCAATTGCATAAAGTGCAAAGTAAAGAAATTGTATACAGAGCACAATTAACAGGCAACGACTCTGTGACCTCAAATTGGGTTGTAGTACAGAGGTTCGGTTTTGAAAATACTGACAAAATTTCTGAAAAAGTGAAAATTGAATATTCAAATCAAAATATTCCGCTTCTGCCACTTGGCGGAGTTGCTATCCCAGCGAATAGTTTGAAAAATGGCGAAAAATTTTCATCAAAAATATTCAACCTACTTCCATTAGCATTTGAGACAAATCTTCCGTGCCATATTGATGGGAATTTTGTGATGAGCCACGAAGGCAGACGAGATCTGTTGAAAGAAAGTTGTTCAAATGAAACATACAAATCAGAATGGAATGAATTAATTTTCAGTCAGATCATCGTACCTGCTTACTGTTCGCTGCTGATGTTTTATAAAAATGATCTATCGAATGTTAATGATTACGAAGAACTCGTTGAAAAATGCAATAAAGTTTATTATAAAATTTTTCCTTCTAGTGAGAATGACGACTTTCTAAAAAAATATCTTGTTGAAAGATTCTACCAGTACATTCACGAAAATAAAGAAGTTTTGTTTTTGGAGCATAAAAATAATGGAACTTCATCTAACATTTGTTGGATAAGTTCTGGAAAGGATGAAGACATTTATTTCGATAATGTTAACTATCAAATAAGTAAATATTTGCAGCCACCTCAACTACAACCTCTCACAGATTTTGAAATTTTCGAAAAACTGAACGAAGAAAATATTAAAAATATAATAACAAACCTTGGCATGCGGCTTATTTCATGTCCCTATCACGTTTACAAGAATTTTGTAAATTTCAATCTCGACATTAAAATTCTTTCTCCGACTTTTATAAAGCAGTTTATGACAAATTCAAAATATTTAGAAGGAAAGAAAGTGAAAATTCACGATACTGTTTTTAAGAATCCAAAAAATCTTAAACTATTTTTGAAATATTTAACCTTTGAAGATAAGAATCTCATAAACGGGTTGCCTGTGTTGTTGTCGGCAGATGAACACATTTGCACTGCATGCCCTGAGAATGGCCTGTTCGAATCTAAGTATGCACCCATATTTCCCCATAAACAGCATCAATTCGTTCATCCAACAGTCGAAATGTATTTCAAAGACTGTGTTGAAGTCTTCGAGCCAAATTTGATCAATAGTGAAAGTACCGTTTCAAGTAAATTAATAGTAAAAGAGCTTACAATTTTAGAATTTAAAAACTTTTTAAACGATTTTGAACCCATCAAACATTTCGAAAATACAAAATGCATTGAAGTACAATTTGAAAATGTTCTATCAAAATTTAATCCTCCAGAAGATTGGCTATTGTCAGTTTGGAAATGTATCGAATCTCTACATAACGACAATATTTTCAATGAAATATCCAATTTCAGTATTTTGCCAGTTGAAAAATTTGACAACCGAACAAATGCAACAACATGGTTTTACCCAATTTCAAAAAGTTTGTGCGTGTTAAAACCTTTAAACGATATTCAAAGTTCTTCGAGAGAAATTTTCAAAGTCTTGAAAAATCTCGGATTACCTATTTTGAAACATTTTCACAAAAATTCAAATTTTTTCTCAATTCATGCAAACAATCCATACAGTTCAATAAATGATTTTATGGATAAATTGGTTGTTAGCGTTACAAACCCAAGCCACGTATTGAAAGCGTTGAGTGATGCTTGCAAAGATGGGGCGACAATTAAATTTTTTAACAGTAAGCTTATTTTGAAATATTTCAGCCAAAATGTTGATAGCTTCAAAACAAAATCTATCGACGAACTTAAAAAATTGTCCATGTTTTGTGACGTAAATAACACGGTATGCGCTTTAAATTCGTCAAAAGTGGTCACCATTCCGTCAGGTATTCCCCAGTTTCCAATTGAAAAGTTTCCATTCAATCAGTGCATATACTTGAAACGAGACCACATGTTTGATGGTTTGTATAAACGCATAACGTCTGATCATTATGAAACATTGGATTTTTATGCTAAAATAATTTTTCCTAATTTTGATACGTTGAACGACGCTGAAAAGTTGGAACATTTAAAATTTATTAAAAGTCAAACAAATCAACTTTACGATGAACAGAATTTAAAATTAATGTTAAAAAATATATGCTTTTTAAAAACACCATCGGGTCAGCAACTCCAAACATCAAAGTTTTACAGTAAAAATCATTGCCTTTTTAATCTGATGGAAAAAAATTTTCCCAGCAGTCCTTACGACAAAAAAGAATGGAACAATTTTTTGAAACTTTGTGGTCTTAATGTGAATTTATCTTCTGAAAAATTTATCGAATATGCTTTTAAAGTCCAAAGTTTTGATGTTGGCCAAGGAAAAATAATTTCATCTCATTTGTTGAATTCTTTGACGGGGAAAACAGTTTCTAACGATGGATCGATTCAGTCGGAAGCGATCGAATTAAATCATGGTTTTGTGCAAAAAATAAAACAAATTCCTTTTATTGTTCCGCACAAAATTGATGAAACTTATTTAAAAATTCACGACGGCTTTTCAAAAAATACCTACATTAAAATTTCAGACTCAAAACTCAGCCGAGATTTAGAGTATTATTGGACTGCATGTGACATACTGCCACCAATCTTTAATGGCGAACTTCTGCATCTGTCACAGAAATGCAGTTTAAACGAATTTGATTTGAATCTAATGATTTCTCACATGAAAAAAACTTATGGCTCAATCAATGAGGTAAAAAATATTTTATTCTCCTATGACCCATTTAGACATTTTGTTGAAGGACTAACGAATAATTATTTGGATAAATTGAAGGAACACGCCAATCTTAGTAGCAACATTTTGAGTGAATTATCAAACTTGCCAATTATTTTTGTGAACTCCAAAGAAAACTTCGTGCAAGCACACCAATGTGCAATAGATATAACAGAAAAAGACCAGATACCTCCCTACATCTTCAAACTACCCTCCAACTACGGTCCCCATGCAGAATTTCTGATGAAGCTAGGAGCCAGCAAACACATAACTATAGAACAATGCATCAAACCTCTTGAAACTTTGAAAAATGAATATGGAAATTCAAAATTGAAGTATGATGATTTGTGTTATGCAAACAAATTATTTGATTTGTTTTTGAAGTTGTTAACAACTCCTTCAAGTTTATCTGTCAAAAAACTTTTCATTCCGTGCAAATTTGGCACACTTGAAAGCTCCGAACTGGTGGTTTGTTTAAATAAAAATGCCGACATTTTCAATGGTCTCAATTTGAGTCTATTGGGAAGACCATTACTTAAACATAAATTATTTGACCGTTTGATGCATCTGCCTGAAAACATCAGACCAAAACTCTTTTCTGATTTCGTTCGTGAAAATATATCAAGCCTAGGAAAACTTTTACCTAAACCGGGTGCCATAGAAAAAATCGAAGAAAAGTTGAACAATATTAATTTTAAAAATGGTTTTGAGATAATTATAAATAAAGCTATTAGCGATAAAACATTGTCAAAAAAAATTATTGGTCAAATGTTTGACGATGAAGTCGTTTTTGAATGTTATGAACATATTGAGTTGGTGTCTGTTTGGGGTGACGATGTCGTTGAAGATTCTAAAAGAAAGGTTTATTTTCATCCCAAATCATATTCTGATAACAAGATCGTCATGTGTGTCAATGCCTCATCTCATATAATCGAATATGAATTAGTTTATAAGCTATCTGAGCACTTAATTGGGTTATACGTTAAAGAAAAAAAAGACATTCTAGCAGTTTTAGCGCTAGAAAAAATATTAAATAGTAATTTGGATAAATTAAACATATTGCTGTATGAATGTGGATATGAAGATTTGTTAAGAACTCGATTGTTTGAAATAAAATTAGGCGTTGAAATTCCTTTGGAAGATCATTTCACTTTAATGCAAGACGATTTCAAATTTTTCAAGCAACAACTGGTAGCTTACGAAGAGAAAGATTCATTCGACGATGACAAGGAGGGCGATCCTAAGTATATTTTGGTCCAGATAATTGAAATAGTTGGCACTGATCCTTCTAGCATTTCTTCAGATTATGAAGTTGATTTTGGTCAGCATAGAAAAACAGTTCCAGCTGTACAACTTTTCAGTTTCGCGAAAGTCATAGATCCGGAAAAACTGTCTGTTGTTTTGATGAATCCAGAAAATGAAACATCAACTTTACACACTGTTAAAGTATTTAATACTCTTAAGGAAGCCATCGATGATTTAAAACAGAAACTGAAAGAAATTTGGAAGTTAGATGATGAAGCGAAGAAAAAGAAAGCTATCAAGCGTCTGTTTTTGAAATGGCATCCCGACAAAAACCCAACAAATTTTTCACATTGCAACGAAGTTTTCAAACACCTTCAGATCCTCATACAAATGTTGGAGGATGGCAAGAGCATCGACGATTACTACGAAACAACAAAAGTGGATTTCTCATCAACCAGCAGAACATCAAGTTCCTATTTTAACACAGATTACTTCGATCGAATGAGCAGACGAGCTCAACAACATTCCTTCTGTCAAAAAAACTCGGGATCTTCCAACAGCCACAGTTCTGGACATTTCAGTTACAGGAATACTCATAACAGTTTTTTCGCGAAATTCAAACACGTTCCTACCAAGAAACCAAAAGAAGCCAAATTGTTCCTCGACCAGGCGAACTATGATTTCAACGCTGCAAGCAATGACGCTCCGCAGACTTATCAATGGATGTGCGTCAAATATTACATGGTAAACTTTTTATTTCAAAAGTTGTTTTACTTTTTGCATATTTTTTTTTATAAAACAATAGCATTAAATTATTTCAATCTAGAAAAATAAATATTTGTAGGTGGTTCAAAATAGTTTGAAAGCGGTACAGTGCATGAAAGACCATTCAAAACTTTCTCACAAATCCTCTTCACTATCACACCTTGCCACTGAACTTTATGACGCAGACCTGTCTAGATGGTCAAAAGAAATGGACTCTCTTCTTCAAGATTTGAACCATCTCACCACACCATCGTCAAATCAGACGGCGTCTGATAAAATTACCTGCGCCCATGCTGATCAAGCCAAAGAAATTGCTGAGAACGTTTTCAAAAAATGCTCTAAAATGATTTCTTGAAGTAATTTTTAACGTGAAAATGACACACTTTATTGCATGATATATTTTTAATTATTTTCTCATTTCTTTATTAATTTTCGATTAGATGTTTTGTAATCTCATAACATTTTGAAAAAGATCTTCATAGACAATTATGTTTCAGTTGCATTTAGATCTTATAGAGACTATATTTTAGTAATCTCGTATCATTTTGATAATAATTTTTGCTAAAAGTTTCAGGTGCTTTCAGGTGTTACATGGCATTTAATTTCACCGCAGAAACACGCTGCACTTCTCACGGCCTACCACAGCATTTCATTTTATTTGCCGCACCTTTTAAGCTGTTTACTTTGAGCATGCCCGCACACACAACACACTCACCACACGCACACACACATATATATATATACACACACACATTAATAATAATAATATTATTATATACGTATAATATTCATCATATTAAATATATTATTTTGCTTAGTAATGCTTTTCTTATTTTAATAATTTCATTTCCTTTGCTCCGTCTTGAGTAGCTTCTTTTGCAATCATACTTACAGACACATGTTATTTTCAATGTATTCTAAGTATACGAGTAGAGAGGCTTACACTTACTCAAGTTACTTATACAAATATTTGATAAAACCTACTGACTCTGACTCTATGTGTCTTAAACTTAATCCTTCTAAGTTTGAATTAATTTGTTTTAATAAATCTAAACATTCTATTACTATTCCTCCTATTATCTTACCTGATTCTAAAACTCTTGATGTCTTTCATAAGTTTCGTAGTCTAGGTTTTATCTTTGATTCTACTATGTCTCTCTCTTCTCAGATTAATAGTGTTGCTAGAAGCTCTTACTTTCATCTACGTAGAATAAAAAAACTTTTGCCTTTTCTTGATGATCCTACTCTTCTCCTTCTTGTTACTTCGTTAGTCTTATCTAGGATTGATTATTGTAACTCGCTCTACTATGGTCTTCCTGACTCTATACTCTATCCTTTAAGTAAAGCTTTTAACTCTGCTGCTCGTCTAGTTGCTCGTGCCCCTTTCTTTTCTCATATATCTCCATATCTTGTTCTCTTGCACTGGCTACCTATAAAATATAGAATAATTTTTAAAATTTGCACGTTCATGTATAAGTCTCAATCTAAATTATTTCCTAAGTATTTATCAGATATATTAATTGAACCTAAACGCCCCGGTTTACGATCGTCTTCTTCTTCTCGCTTTTTCTTAACTCGTGTTAAACACTTTTTTGCCAAATCTGCTTTTGCTTTTTCTTGTCCTTTTCTTTGGAACTCTCTACCTACTTTTCTGACTACTTCTCCATCACTTGCGAAGTTCAGAGCGGATCTCAAGGCCCATCTGTTTTCAAAATTCATTGAGGAGCGCTGTTGAACATCGCGGAAATAGCGCTTTATAAGCTAATTGATTAATTGATTGATTGATTGAATTTTTAGCTTTCCCAGTCTTTACAAAATGATCTACGGCCAACAGACACGTAACTTAACTCACGAGCAAGAAAGTCAATAACAAATGTTGCAACTTTCCTGTGAGTTGGAAGCTTAAATCGAAAGCAAAAAATTCAGTAAATTTTATCAAATATTGAGTCAATACAATAAATAAATTTTCTTCCATATATATGCGCATAAATGAATATTAAAGTTTTCAAGCGGGCAAATAGCTCATGAATATTAATTAAAGGAGGAGTCAAATGGAAATGCCATCGTTAAAGTTTACCGCCGTGTTGGTAAATTAAAAGTAAATATTAATTCGTTATATTTGAACTCAAGGGGAGGCCTATTTACCATTAAACAACACTTTTTTATAGGTTGAAGCAGGGATATGCAAAGAATCTCAATTTTTGCAACTTTTAATTATTTTCGGTAATGTCGATTTTATTTGTTTAAATTTATACCAAATAAAAGTAATTAATTACCATATTGAATAACAATTTAAAAAAATAAAATTTTAACATTTTAAATAAAAGAAATATTCCGTAATTAGTAAATATACTATCGTAACTTTTGACTCGAACCTCACCCTCCATCTCCCCTCCAGAAGTAAGCTCCTTGTTCAACCGTTGAAAGTGAGCGAAGGCCGTTATATTTATTCTAGTTATATGTATCAAACAGTATCTTATTGAACAAAATAGTATCATAAAATAAATAAAGATACTTTTTTTCAATATAAAAAATTCTCAATTTGATTTCATTGCGATATCGATGATGATGATGATTGTGACCTGACTAATTAAAAAACATCAAATAAAATTTATAATAAATTATAAATTTGAACTGCGTGCGCACATATGTATCACTGATTACTGTTGCGTTTATAATGAATTTATATACTATATAGTCTATATAAAGCGAACAAAATTTTAATATAAAAGCGCTTATAACTCGATGCATATTGGCTCAGCTTGGCTCGACTCGGCTTGGAATTGGATGTTAAGCAAGGTGTGGTCTTAAACTATTTCGAATTCTCACAGAAAACTTTGCGCACATATGTAGCACTGATTACGACTGTTTCGTTTATAAGGAATTTATATACTATATATATCAAGCGAGCATAATTTAATTATAAAAGCGCTTATAAATCTATGCATAATAGCTCAGCTTAGCTCGGCTAGGCTTGGAATCGGATGTTAAGCAAGGTGTGATCTCAAACTATTTTGAATTCTCTCCGAAAATTTTGAACTGTGGCGTACATATGTAGCATTGATTACTGTTGCAATTATAATGAATTTATATATATATATATATATATATATATATATATATATAAAGTAACTAGAATCCATGTATACAAATAATTAATAAGATTATATGTTTTATATTAAAAGCAATATAGCAGATTCAACCAGCCAATCAGAAAATTTCGAAGGCGTTCGTTCGATGACGTCAATTTAATACTGTTGGCATTGTGGTAAAGACTGTATAATACTGTAGTACATACATTAAATAAGTTTTTTACTGATGTGAATGATTGAAATAGTGAGAATGTATGGTTGAAACGAGTATAAATAGGAGCTGAGAAAACGTGAAAATCAGATCAGGCATTCCGCCTCGCATGAAGCAGTCTGCCTGATCTCATTTATTTTATTTTTATTTATTTCATTATATAGAGTTATATAGAGTTATATAGAGTTTGCATGCCTGTGGTTTGTGTGATTGGATGTTGTATTTTTTTATATTTTAGGTGGGTTCTTTAGCAGTTGCTCATACATACATACATCATGTTTGTTTGTGTGGTAGTATTTTATGTTCTGTTTTACTCCTTTTTCTCTTTCTTCATGAGTCTTAAGTTAAGTTAATGAAACATAGGTAGGTGAGGTAAAAATTAATTTATTATATAGGTAGGCTAGGGCATAAGGTAATTTAGTTACATAGGTAGGTTAGGGACTTCTATTCTTTTACTCTACTTGGTGGTGTGATTTTTGTTTTGTGTTTTTTTTTGCTTTGTTTCACATCATACATTCAGCAGGTACGCGGTGGTTCCTGGTTTTAGTGGGATTTTTATTGATTGAATGTGGTAGTATGCATGGTTATATAGAGTTATATAGAGTTATATAGAGTTATATAGAGTTATATAGAGTTATATAGAGTTATATAGAGTTATATAGAGTTATATAGAGTTATATAGAGTTATATAGAGTTATATAGAGTTATATAGAGTTATATAGAGTTATATAGAGTTATATAGAGTTATATAGAGTTATATAGAGTTATATAGAGTTATATAGAGTTATATAGAGTTATATAGAGTTATATAGAGTTATATAGAGTTATATAGAGTTATATAGAGTTATATAGAGTTATATAGAGTTATATAGAGTTATATAGAGTTATATAGAGTTATATAGAGTTATATAGAGTAT